TGCTTACGTACATTTCATATAAATTTTATGTATTATATAGTTATTTATCTATTTGTTACGAATTCTTCGGTTGGAGTTTACGGGAAAATTCAGGAAAAAATTATAGAACGGAAAAAATGGAGCGAAATTTTCCAGATTTCGTAATTATGAAAATGATACGTCATTTTTATTGAATGTTTCTGTCCGTGTGGGAAAAAGTCAGAGGGTAAGGGCCACCTACAGATATGCCTCTTCGTGTCAAGAAAATAATCTTTCGGTCGGATGCATCCACCGAGGCCCAGCATTTTTTTTCCTCTTTCTCGGATAAGATTTACATTTTAGAATTTAATAACTACGCATTTCTCGATCGAATATTTCCCTCATATCTACTTTCCTCCTCTTTGTTAATTGACACAAAAAGAAATATCCCCGGGTTGACTATTCCCGAATGCATTCTCATCTTATCACAGGCGAGATAAAGTGTTTTTTTCGTTCCAGATTAAATAAAACGGAGTGCTATTCTTGGCATTGAATAAAATTAAATTGATAAGGGAAATTGAGACTTGACCTTTCGACGGCGATCGATTATCGGGTATTCGATCAATGACATCGGCGATCTGCTGATAAATATATATTTTACTCGATTTTTCCGATTCGGAGAAAAAACATTTTGTAATAAAGATTTATTTGTTCCAGAGCTATTAGCTCTTCAAAACTTTGAAAATTCATCCTTACAATTATTATTATTAACAATCGGAATTAATCGGAAAAATTATTTCTATTGATATTTTTTTTTTTTTAATTTTTAATTCAACAAAAAATTTGACCCGAAAATTATTGCAGTATGTTTAATAATTATATTAACACCTGACGAGTACTCAGTAGATTTGTAATATAAATATATAGTAAAATGAAGCCGCGTTGAATAATAAATGGATTTTATTTAATAAAATGTGCTATGTGACATGGCCGCGGACGAAAATGAATGATAAAAGCCGATGGAACATGAATTTAGTAGAGATGGACAGCATTTGAAATATTTACAAATCGTAACAATATTTTAAATAAAATCCGGTGTTTATCGATTGATACAAACGGAAGTGAACTGCAAGGAAGGGGTGTATTAATCCCTCAATGAAATAGAGTTATGTCAGTGCCATGTCAGAAGTATAACTGGGGGTAATAAAGTTGGAGCGATAATTATGACAGGCTCGTTACTCGTGCGAACACGTCTGTTGGGTTATTAAGTGTTAATGAATGGACGTGTCAGAGTCGGCGGGACCGGCTGGTACCAACTAACTTCATAATAACGCAGTCGAAAGTAGAAAGATTAATGTTAATCCCATTTTTCTTTTAATTCCCCACATTTTCTTTACATTTTTACATTTTTTTCCTCACATTTTTACCATTTTTACAATTTTTACCATTTTATCAATTGGACAACTCGGCAGCTTTAAAATTAATAACAAAGATATTTATTCGCACTTTATTGAAAAATTAATCAAATTCTTGATTATTCTAGGGAACGCGCATATTTCTGGTCTGAGAAATCTCCAAGATGGCTTTAAAAATTTGTTCACTTGGTGGAAACAAGATATGATGACGTGTGAGTCATTTGGGAACAATAAATAATTGCGATCATTGTTTAAAAACACGAAGTGAGCGCGCGGCCATTTTGAAATCCCTGAGCTGCAGGGGAGGGTACCAGTTCCAGATGGCGGCGCCCACCTTTGCAAATCATTTCACACCTTTTTAAATTATAAACAAATACATACAAATCATATTCAGATTGTTCCTGAAACCTACATTTTTCTGGTGATAACTAAATAATACTCTAAATGAATTCTGTGGCAAAAGTATTTTTTCCCCAGTCCAGAAAAAGCGTCAAGATTATTATGGCAGACGGTGAAATCCAATCGATCTTCCTCGGATGAATTTTCCATAATTCCAGCCATTTTCGGAAATGGTGTCAGGCACTATCTTTTCCTCCGAGTTTGTATGGCCGCGCACACACGCGACATCCGGAGCTGAGGGAGAGGGTAGCAAAAAAAAAGGGAAAAAGGGTCCAAAAAGGGGCCGTGACTGGGGGTTAGCAGAAGGAGGTGGGGAATCGGTGTCACAATGGAGCCATCGATCATTTGCCGCCCGTCTCTCGATTGGTGTGTGCTCTGTACCCAACTGCAGGCCAATGCCACCGAAGTATGAATCAATGTGAGTTGAGCTACCGGTTTATTACATAATGCCAACCCCTATGTGCATTTCGACGTTCAAAATTTCTCACCGCCACTCAAAAACAAGTATCAACACCTACTTACGAAAAATTCACAATCACTCGATTGGAAACTGCGGGAGTTGGAACCAATTTATCCGATAGAAGACGTCAGAGAAGATACAATCGGACAATGGATAATCCTCGATATCCGTCCGTTGCTCGTGATAACGATCTCCTTCCTTATCTATTTGTACAAGCATTCCTCCTTGCCAGGAGAAAATTAAATTCCGCTTTTTTTCCTTTTGTCAGTCGCATGTTCATTCTTCTATTCGACTCAACGATTCTTTCAATTAAATTATTCACGATAATGAGTTTTACTCGTCAATATATTTTTTTGGGACTCAATTTCTAATGCGAATTTTAGAGACAAATTTTCTTTACTGCACCCCTGCTGAAGTCGAAGATTAATTAATAATTGGTCATTGTTAATTAGCAGTAGTATTAGCATTTATCAATAATGAATTAAGATTCATTGATTAGTATGCAGACGTTTTGTTCAGGATATTTAGGAACAAATGGTAATTCCCTGGAATTGTTTAAATAATGTCCGGTGGCCTGGCGCAGTTAGTAAGGCTGTCACAGCCGATAGGTTTCAGGTTCAAATCCTGGCCGGGTAGAACGGTGAGATCTAACCATTTTTAAAGTCTTGATCAATCGCCACATAGTCATCATGACTTGAAGCAATGTAAAATAAGTAGTAAAAAAAGGGATTACTTAATGATGTTTCAGCATTGGGAAAGAAGAGACGAAATGGAATTTTTTCCTGTTTATATTTGTAATTTATCTGTTGTCTTCAGTCATGGGAAGAGATAAATTTTTTCCCAGGCTAAATTCCCAGTGACTTCTTGACTCCCTAAGATGACCATAATATCCGCATAATAGCGAATTGTTATTCGGGGATAATCCCCGGATTACTTCTGCCCAGGAGAAGTGGCCGTCCTAAACGTCCAAAAAGATGTCATGTCAATCATGAAAAAAAAAATAAGTTTCATGGTACAAGTCACAACACTGCAACGGGTGGTCCTGCAAAGAGAGACTGGGGGATTCTTTCCGCTTCTTTTCATGGATCCTCAATGCAAATGTCTGAATGTCCAGTACGCACGCCCAAGATGTGACCTAAGGGACACATATAGTTGTTTCCAAATACGCGGTTTCTTCAGGTAGGTGAGGAAGAAAAGCGTCAACGAGGGCGGATGCTGGGGGAGGGTAAGTTCAAAGTTTAAACATTTCTTTCATAACATGGAGAATAATAATTTATCATTTTCGGGATGAGTTACTCCGAGGATTTTTGAAAACAGAATATTTTATTTATACTGGAGTTGGAACATTCAATCGAAAATTATTTTTAATTTATATTTTTTATTTATTCCGGGCATTTATTTTGTCTTTGAATTCCCTTGAACTTCAGTGGAACTTGGATTAAAATTTCGGACCAGTTTTTTTTTTTCATTTTATTGTAGAATAATTTTTTTAATTTGTAGAATATGAAGAGAAACAATTTATTATTTTCAGAAACATTTTTTAAGGGGATAGAAGAGTTTGAGTATTCAGTGGAAATTTATTTTCCCATCAAATTTCCCCAAATTTCAGGGGATCTTAATTAAAACGACAATTTCAGATAAAAATATAGATTTTTTCATTTTACTCTTCGATTTTTATAGAGATTTTATGGATAGAAATTCATGTGATATTTTCTGAAGTGAGTAAAATATTTGAAATGGCTTTGTAGATGATCAAGAGCAGTTCCATACGCACAGGCAGATCTTTTGAGGTTGATTTGAGGTTTGCCCAGTTAGAATGACAATGCAGGTGTCTCATCCCACGTCAGAAGTCCAGGAGAGATTGTCAAAAACTCAGCGTGGCGCCTCTTATAAGGCAGACGTAGAAAGATACACCCGTGACCAAAATCCCTCCGAGGGACAAGATGATCACCTGGGCAATTGTTTAAAGGGATAAGTGACTAGTTGACCAATCACACGGCTCATTGATTAAGACGTTCTTTTTCTACCTGACTCTTGCGTACACCAAAAATTTTCTTTTTATTGTCGACATCGCATTGATCTGTAAATTACGTACAAATAATAATAGTTTCTGGACTAATTTTTGAAAAATTGTGCAACAAAAATTAATATATATTTTTTACTCCAAACATATTTGTTGATATTTATGATTTTTTTTTACAAGATGATTTTAGTTAAGCCATCAAGTCTTTAGAAAAAATGGAGCCTTTCACATAATCTCGAGAATATTGTCTTTCAATTTCTCGAGGACTTTTAGAAGATCCGAGCGATTTTTCTACGCGACAAAAAAGAAAAGACACGAATAAAAAAGACAGGTGTGTCACAGCGAAAACCGCCAAAAATTCCTCGGCCTGCAGGCCACCAGCCGATAAGTGTCAACTGCACGGTGTCAGATAAAAGTGAAGAAAGAAGCCAAGAAAAACAAATGAAAAAAAAAAAAATTGCAGAATAAAAAACTGGAAATACATATATACAATCGAGAAGCGATCCATCAAGGCCTCGGTGGTACAGTAGGCGAGGATACCGCCAGCAATTGGCGGTACGTCCCGCCCATTCCTGGGAAAAGTTCCCCTGGATTGGTGGTATGAAGAACCGATCCCACCCATTTAAGTGATCACATACTGCGCAGGTATGAGCAAAAGTGGGAGAACCCAAGGTCCTGCCCTGATATCGCCTGGGAACATGCTGGTAACCCCCGAAAGCTTTTACCTGCACGCATCAAGCAGCAGTCAGCTTCAGGATACCGAAGCAGTTGTACCTAGTGACGTAAACTTCGCAGTTCCCATTATCGAAACTCACCCGAGAATCACCTACTATTTAAATTATCTCCGAGCCTCTTAATCCCCTCAAACGATTCCAATCAAGCAATAAATTTCAAGTGCATAAGTGTCCAGTGCTGCAGAAACATGTGAATAACAAAGGAGTTGACGCTGGTGTCAAGGAGCACTGTCAGTTAATGTGTTGAATGGTGATGCCATAATGATGCCAAAAACATTGAGTAATTATTGCTGTTAGAATTCTAATGACTCGTTACTTCCGCATCTAGCAGTTTGACCAAATACTCAGAAGGACGTTGTCCTTCAGGAATCGATTTTGATGAATTCTCCATTTTGGAATTGTGGAATTTTGTATTTCGCCTCTGATTTCGATACCTGGGTGCTGCTTTCATTTAAATCTGTAGAATGCTGATGACACGGATCATCTGGTACCGTTGATGAAACAATTGTTTTCAAACAGAACAAGCAAAGCGAAAGGAAGAACCTTACAAGAGAGAGATCATTGATGTTCTTACCTGGCCGTGAGGATGATGATGATGGATATGGGTATGTATGGTAGTTATGGTAAACCAGACTCGTACTACAGCTTGCACACGAGTCATCAGATACCGCAGCCTGGAGTGCAGTCATCTGATTTGACGAATCCGTACTATCCTCAAGCCTCATTATCCCCGTACACCAATGCCCCGGACATTTACATAGGACCCGAATCAGGTTCCAGTAGTTCAGGTGTACCCGGAACTCCGCCCCAGGGCTATTACTCAGCATCGGGAGCAGCCCTGCACGAGGATGGTACAGCAATCATATCATCCGAGAATGGTCTCAGCTACACTAATTTGGATTACGCGAATTACTCATCCTGTTCAAATACTGAACAGCATCATCAGGGATATCATATCCAGCATTTGCCGGCACAACAATTACACTCTAGTCATCACAGTGAGGATTATCAAGCCAGTCATCACTCAGTCCAGTCGACAACCGGTGGTTATCATCATCAGGTGCAAGATGATGTTAGATACAGCCAGTCCCACGGTATCAGGCAGGAGTACCAGCCGATTAATTACAAGGAAGAGACCACTGACAGTACTGGTTATCACAGCTGCATACAGCAGACTGCTGTGCACGGTGTACCTAGTCATCATCATCAGCATCAGGGAATGTCGCATGTACAAGGGCATCAACAACCAACGCAAGTGCCCACGTACAAGTGGATGCAGGTCAAGAGGAATGTGCCGAAACCGGCTGGTGGGTAATTCTTTTACATTTATTTTACTGATATTATCTCAGCTGATGGCGCAGAGGGCGCTGTACTTCCTACTTTTCTTCTTCCCCGTCAATCAATTTCCCATTTTTCTAATCTCATTATTGTTTCCGGCGTTCCAACTACTTATTATCATTAGCTATTCTAGGCTTCAAGGGGTAAATCTCAACAATAGTTTATTGGTATTTAAATACGAGAGTTTAGGACTCCATTACTGTAACCATCTCATCTGATTGGTTACAATTACGAGGTCGGGGCCTGATTTGGATGGGCCATGTCCACACCCAAATGATTTCTTGAATAATATATAATTGTTTATATTTCGTAAGTTGCTGTATGTCCACATTTGCAACAATAAAACGTCTGCCCAAAATCTGGGGCATTACATCATGATTATTATTATCATTACTATTATTACTTAACGGACGTACTATCACTGATAAGTAATCAAAGGGATAATTTTTTTAAATAATTCAAACTAATCGCGCAGACATGAGTTCTTGAAGATTAATAAATTCCTGGAAAGATAAATCCATAGATAATTCTATATTCTATTGAACTTCAAGGAGGAAAAATATTTAGGTACATCTGTTCATGGATATTCAGATAATTCATTAGATCAATTGCTGCAAAATCCGGGAAAAGACGAAAATTTTTGAGAAAAAATGAGGGAAGGATTTATAATATGAAATATTTAGTGTTCCCAGAGTAAATGATATCTAAAGCGGATTCGAAATGATATTCTGGCCCGTCGCCTGGTGATATGGGGTAATCATAATACCCATCACCACGATGGCTCCCACCGATTAAAAGTAAATCCCCGTGAGCGGTGATAAAAATTGGTTTTCAAGTGTAATCTAATGAGGAACTTTTTATCACCTCAGTGTTGATATTTGCGCATTTTTTTTTTTGCATCGGGTAACTCCCGCGGCGTTATGCGTGGATTAAGATAATTCTGGTCATCTTGCTCAATTATCAATCGTTATTTTTCCACACCTCATTAGAATTTCGTCGTGATTATGAGGGGACGTGACTGGCGCCAGTCCGTCGATTCCGTTGAATCTTAGGGACGTGGACGCGTTAAGTCAATTAAAACGTTAAACGCGGCCAAGCGGACTTGGCCCTCGTTATCTTGACAGGCTTGCTTCTATATAGTTTTATGCTCCAGTCACATGGATGACACATCAACTGGACTGCAAACTTAAATAATACATTTTTCAACTGCACACGGAAATAGATATAAATAGTCAATCATAATTGCAAAACTCTCAGCAGATTTCTGGTATTCGTCATTGAAAATTCAGTGTAATTCATTTTTATTCGCGTTTAACTGTAATAATAATCATAATAATTTTAAATAAAAAAAAATAAAAATCTAAATGAGAAATGGGTGGGAGTTTAATTAAGAATCTTATTAATTCGAAATTTAATGTAATATATCAAATTATATATTTATTTATTAGGCGAATTTTAAACTGAAATATTTCACTCATTTCTTGCTGATCAATTAATTAATCAAGAAATAAATTGATTACTGTCATTGAATTTTTATTTATTTGTTCTTTCAACAAAAAAATTATTCTCAAGTTAAAATTCAAGCACTTACGGTATTTTTTTTAGTAATGAAAAAATTTGGTTTAATATCTGGTGAAATGAAATTATGAAATGGATGTGTGAGAATCTATCAATTTTCTCTCATTTCTGCGAGGAAAAAATTGGAGAGGAAAAATGAATTTATTGGGCGGAGCAAGTTCTGTACCGGCGCTTACATTCATGCCCGAAGATTTTAATCCCCCTGATCTCTTCCGGGATTGGACGATACATCTGTCTCCCTCATCCCCTATTTGATGCTGCGTGGAGGAGAAACTGTCGTGTCGTCTCTCGGGTACGGGGTGAGGAAATTGTTGCGTCCAACCCCTAGCTGTCAGCCATCCCTAGGCACAATCTATCATACACCAAACTCGATTTTATTTTTTTTTTCCATTGCTCAATGATTGGACTAGCCCCAGAATTTTTCATGGAGGGAGGCATTTTTTGTCTCATTTTTATTTCCTTGTATATTTTTGAAATTCCCCCCACAATATGAACAACAAAAAATTATCTCGTGGAATATTCCGTTGATATATTCAGTAATTATAATTAATGCTATTGAACCAAATTGTTAATGGAGAAATTAGAGTAAAATTTGGTAATTAGCTTTCTTATTTAATTCAATTCTTTCGGAATTTTCCAACAATTATGGAAATCCGGGAAATTTTTGTTGAAAAATGTTATTAATGGAAAACTCAATGTAATTATTTAAATATTTATCTATTACATAATTTCGAACCCAAACTATTTCCCTGATCCATCAATAATTAATGAATTAATTTTTAAATTTCATTTTATTGTTGTCATTTCCAAAAAAACTCATCAATTAAAACTTGAACTACCAAAGAAAACAAATAATAAATTCACCAATGACCAATGAATAATTTCCATTTAAATTCCATACTATGAACTAAAAACGACTTTAATTATTAAAATCAATAATTTACCGGGTGACACATAAATAAATAAAACGAGTGGCTCGTAGAAATAGTGAAATGCGGAGATATTCGTCGCAATTTTAGTGGATATTTAGTATTGTATTTTTTTTTATTAGTTATATTGGATTTTTGGTGAGGGCTAGTTGAGTTGTACTGTAACTATGGAGTAAAAAGGTGTTTCATGTGGGGGTGATGGGGGACGCGTGAGTGACCGGGACACAATATCTCGCGAGGGGATCTCAGAGGATCGTTGGCGTGTTTCAGGGTAGCCTGTTTCACCCCCCTGATCACCCAGCGAAAAACCCACCGGCCACTTTTACCTGTATAAACCTTAACGTGTTGTAGGATAGCCTGACCGACCAGTCATCTGACTACTCGTTCTCGTTCTGCTTCCTCATGTCCACGTGTCTCACCCATTCTCACCCATTCTCACCCATTCTCACCCACTCTCACCCACCGGTGATTTTCATTTCCGTGCGAGAGAAATACTTCACCCACGAATTCCTCTGGAATTTTTACCCTGAAATTTCAAAAATATAACCACTTCGCCCAACCATAACCACTTTCCCGATTTTCCTCGCAACGTTATTTATGGAGTTATGAAAAAATTTGATGAATAAATAAATAATAATTATGATTAATGAATGAATAAATATATTACGAATAAATAGATAATTAGGCTAGATACAGTATATTTGATTTTCGATAAAAAAATTATTTATTATATAATAATTAATATAATATATTTTATAAATATAATATTATTTATAAAAACTGACTCACGGTAATGAAAATTAACGAGTCATTGAATAATGATAAAAATTAAAAGCAGTATATTTTCCCTTTAATTGAATTTTCTTAAATTTCTTTCTATTAAATGAGAAAATATCGGCAAGATTAAATTAAATGCTATGCATTAATTACGCACGCCTCAGATCACTGAAAATGTCCAGTAATTTCCTCATCAACTCATAAAATGAGAGATTACACTTGAAATTCCAATGAATTTTTACCAACACGAATGAAAAATAATGTTGGCGATTAAATTTACTCGCTAAGTGGCGCGGGTAATTTACTTTGAATCGGGAAAATGACGGCAATGAATTTCTCATGATCTGCTTCGGTTCACGTATTGCTTGGATTATTTATCGGGGAATGGAAGGTGTTCCAATAATTTCAGTGTGCATGCACCCCCTAAAACATCTAGGGTGACATGTGACATGACTCAGGACATTATTAGCCATAAGGATCTAATTAAATTCCCATTAATTACGACGTAAATAAGCACATGCTGTCAGGACGTTAAACTGTTGGAGGAAAGCCAGTGGTATTCCAAAAATTTTAGCATTCCGAAAATTTTATCATTACAGCAAATTTCAACTGAATTCATGAGTATTAATTCATATCAGATAATTATTCATTAAAATGATTGAAATGATTAAAATGATTGAAAATTAAGGAATTAGCAATTGGGGAATAATAAATTGGAGGCTCTAGTAGAGGAGTGATCTCTCCCTCGGGTTGATGGTATTATTTTATGGAGCATTGTATGTACTTGTACATGTAGAGAATTTTGTTGGATGTGTTCACGTGTATGTGCACGTGGGTCAGTACATCCACAGGGTTTTATGTCGGGCTGCGGACGCGAATCGCGCGCAGACGATTTATCGAACCGTTGAATATATTTAAAAAATTTACCATGCGGAATTCTCAGGGTGCAAGTCCTTAATACGCCATCTTTCAAGTCTGCGTGATCTTTTTTCTTTTTTCCAAGAAATTTTATCTTCTCTAATAAATTATTTCACGAGCTTTAATAAAATAACTAAAGTAATAATAATAATAAGAATAACATAATTATAATAATGAAATGTCAGTTTCAGTTTAATATAAGACTTAATAAAATTTCAGGAAAAAAATGGTTTCAGCGGTTGATCGGGAAATTCGATAATTTTCAATAACAATTTGTTATTAATGCTCGATTAATTAGGCTTTGGAAAATAATTGTAGTAATTGTAATTCACTGGATTATAAATTTTGTAATAAGTTTAACACCGAAATTTTAAACAAAAATGTAACATACCGAAAAAATTGCGGGCCTCCGACAATTTTCCGCGATTAATTTTCCGCGTAATTTACCTGCATTGACGGATAAAAATTCCGAAAAAATTCGTAATCACTGGATAATTTATCGAGAAGAGACTCAATCCGTTTCGGGAATTTACGGTTCTTTTGATGGGTAATCATCTGCTCGTGAGGTTGAAAATCACCCCATGAGTGAAGTGACATTATGCAATGCAAATATTATTCAAAGGCTAAAAGCCATAGCCAGATGATGTAACACCAGCTTCCGCATGCTTGAGACCCCAGGACATTGGGTATAGTATTACGAGGAAAGGGAGGGCTTAAGTCCTCGACTGAATGCGGGTTTTCAAGGTAAATTTGAAAAGGGATTGAGCCACTTACACTCTAGGGCTCCTTTTCACCCATCCTGACTCTTCAATTACCAAAAAACCCTTCTCCAACGTGTAATCCCCCCTGTCACCATCCACTGATAGATGAAAAAGTCCTGATCAGGCAAAATGGCGGGCTTTATCGATAATTTAAAAAATTCTCCAGCAATCAACAGCTGTCACTTCGCTGGATATCTGGTTTCAATTTCGTTTTCACGGTATAACGCTCTCTAAATTGAAGTCAAATATCTCCGGATCTATTTTCAGGTTTTTTTTTTACTCTCGTGTTTGAGGAGAAAACGGATACCTGATACCTGCCCGAAAAATCGGTATGAAATTAAATCATTTTTTCATAATTCATTCGATGCGGGAGAAATTTTCGGATTATTCAATCACTCAATTATTATTATTCAATTAGTTAAATTGAAATTGCCGGATAATTCGGGGATTCGATTGACGCGTCTATAATTTTTTCATTGGTAAAGTACACTTGATATTTCAAGATAAATAAAAAATTGATTGTCCGTTTTTGCGATGGAAATTTCAAGTAATTGTTTAAAAATGTATTTTTTTAAAATCCAAATAAATGAGAATAATTCCATCAACCAAAAACCGAGAGAAATAAATCAAAAAAAGTTAATGTTACAAAAAAAAACCGTGGGTGTTCTTAAATTGATGTATGAGCCTGGAAAAAGTTCCAGATTCATTACAGTAAGTAAAATGTTAAGTCAGTGCATTCGCCCGGACATTCTCGGTAAAATTAAGTGACGGATCTTCTTTTCACTCGATTCTACCGAGGGCTCGAATAGAAAAACTTATCTAATCGCATTGAGGTAATCCACGACTGATTAAGATTGCATTGTTGTCTTCATCCCAATGTCCCATGATGTTTACACAATTCGCATCGTCGTATTGATTTTTATTTTCAAATATCTCCAAAGATGATTCATCGCGATTATTCGGTCAACCATTGAAGTTTATCTCTATTTAAATTTATCAATTTCCAATTCTTCAATGGCTCACATTCTAAATTATTATTATCCTAAATAACCCTGAACAATAATAATAATAAGAATTATTAATATATATATTGTATAATTATTATATACTATATTATTATATTATTATTAATATTTTTTAACTTCTCAATATTCACGAAAAATAAATATAATAGAATTAAACAATTGATTTTTCTGTCTCGATTTTATATAATTATTTCATGAAGAGTATATTAACCTGTTCTCAGATATTCGTAAAGAACCGAATGAATTAAAATCTAATTTAACAAAACAAAATTTAATTTAACAACTTTTGCATTCTGCTGAATTTTTTTCTCGGCGTACGAAATTTCCAAAAAATTTTATGATAGCTGGAGATTTATTGGGCTGAAAAAAATATCGGCGAATTTTTATATCGAGTACTTGTCTCAGTGCGGATTTATTTGGCGAATCAAAGTTCGTGTTTCATTGAGGGTATAGCATAAATTAATTTGACTCGTAAGTTGATAGTCGTATGTGCAGGCTAATTACGTCGTCCGGGGTGAATGGTTGTGGTCATTCGGTGGGTCGTGATGGCGAACCGATTAGATTAGATCGAATTAATGGCCCTCACGAGCTTCAACCCCCTCCCCCTCCCCACCCCAACGAATTACAACTAGAGTAAATCCCTCCAGAAATTGCCAGTTTATCAAAGAATTTAATTGAATTCGCGAGTCATTACGACATGAAAAATTTATCCCAGAAATTCATCATTAATTAAGAATATCGTCAAACCATTAATATTATAGTAATTATCACTAATATTATTAAAATATTATCAATATATTACAATAATATTGATGATATTAATAATTATTACTATTATTGATAGTGATAATATATTTGGTTATTTGATTGAAGTAATGAGAGATATTGTACGACTCAAATAATTGAGGATTGGTAATAAACGAATGACAGAAGCCCATCAGCTGATACGTAAGTCATTGTGATCTCACTCGGACAATCCGATCCATTATTACTTACCCTTTGAGTCCAGCTTGACCCTTTAGGCTCTTTACACCCTAAGAATCCTCGAAAATTGACCAGCTGTATTGGACAACAAAACGGATTATCCCTTTTGGTAAAAGGATACATCCGCTCGATTTTATTCCAAATATTGCATCACAATTTTGACCTTTTGTACATTTCCAGTAAATGATTCTTCATAAAAAATTCAACTGATTTGGAAAAATTAATTGAATAATTGATAATGATTTTTATGTTGCAGTGCCGAAGCCACCGCCAACCAACGGTGATTACAACTCCGTGCAAATGACATCGGTACCGTCTAATTACTCGCCGTCGGGTTCAGTGAATTGTCTGACGGTTGGAAATTTACCGGGCATGTCCGCCGGTTTTAATAACACGGGACGAACGAATTTCACCAATAAACAGCTGACAGAATTGGAGAAAGAGTTTCACTTCAACAAGTACCTGACCAGGGCGAGACGCATCGAGATTGCCTCCACCCTTCAGCTCAATGAGACGCAAGTCAAGATATGGTTTCAAAATCGAAGGATGAAGCAGAAGAAGAGGATGAAGGAGGGACTGATACCGAGTGATAGTGCGACGGTAGCGGGTATTTGTGGGGCCCGGAGTACCAGTAATTCCCCGACAGGATCCAATCTAGACGTCGGGGCCTCTTTTCTGCCCAATTTTCCTAATGAAAATAGCAGGGAGTCCATTAACTCCAAGGATTGATATCACTCTCATTTCCATATTTTTCCTTCAAGACTGCTCTTCACGCGCGAAGAAATTTCGTTTTAAAAACCTAGGGAATTCTTCGGGAGAGAAGTTTCCGCCGAGTCATTTGATTTGCACTGTTGGAAAATTACGCTTAACATTTTTAATAATGACAATGTGACAGGAAATTTATGCACAATTTTTCAGTGACGAATCAATTAATTTCTTGGATATTCTCGGGATTCTGCATTTTCAGATCCATATGATAAAGAAAAATCCGGGAAAATGGGGAAAATTCTGGTAATTATTTCCCTAATAATAATCAATAATTATTATGATAATTGGTAATCATTTTTAATGAATTTGAATTATCATTTAACGTGGAAAATTCATTTTTTACGAATTTTTCATGATTCAGATGACTTTGTGACGGAAATTTCAAGAATTTTCCAACGGTACAGTGGAATTCTCTTCCGAATTTCCAACGTTTTTCCACTTTTTCCATTCTGTTCACTCGTTTATTCCTTATTTCCAGTTCCAAAGAGATTTCTTACTATTATTTAAGTCTGCGTCGAGGAATTTCGAGTGAATGTAACATAATTTAATTTCATCTTCAGAACTTTTCCCAATATTCAAATTCCGCGGGAACTTAAAGGAATTTCATAAATGAAAAATGTGAATTCCGCACTGTAAATATCCGCTCCATTAGTCCCTAAAAATACATAACTATTCTCTGTGAAATATTATTTACCAATATTTTGTAACAGAACAGATATTGCAAACGAGTGATAAAAAGAGGTGATTGAATTCTGTACAGTATAGTAAAAAAACTATTTTTAATCGATGCTCAAATCACCGGATTCGCTAGTCCAAAGGCAATGAATATTCCCTAAATCAATGAGTAATTGGCACAATCAATATATTACCAATAATTTCGATATTAGACCTGTTTGATTTTTATTTAATGCCGTCTCGTCACATCTCAGCAACAATTTAGTCATGTACCGAAATAAATATAACAAATCATACGGAGAATGAGGGATTAATTATGCTCTCATTGATTCACGTTGAATTCTTGTTTCTCTGTCATGGGATTTAGACGGGGCTCATACCACCCGCTGTACTCATACCATTTTTACCTTGTGCGCCCCGTCATCACGCAACCATAATTTAAAAAAAACTCGCGGCTTTCACTTGGCGTGTCTCGTTTCGTGTTTCACATTGAAAAAAAAATTCATGAAAAAAAAAAAAACATTTTATTCGTAACGTAAAAATAAAAATCTCCACAACTTATTTGTCTGGCCGCCCGGAGTGCTTACTCCTTTGTTGATGGTGCAGATATGCTACCGAGAGACTTTTATATTTATTCAGAATATATTATTGATCCACTGATTAACAAGTGTAAATTATTTCATAATAAATTCTCTATTTTTTCAACAATTGGGGAGATACACCGGGAAAAAACAATTTCCAAATTAACAATCTCTTTCTCTGTTTCTCTTCAATTCATTTGATAATTAATTTTAAAATCCAATTATTATCTATTCAATTGGCAGTAATAATTATTTTCTCTGGGTGTACTATAGGAAAAATAATAAAACCCTGGGCTCCAATTGTTTTATCATTTTATCAAAAAGATTTCATTCTATTTTAAAATTTCGGCTTTTGGTGAGTCTCCGGTTTTTAATCCGTTTTTTATATTGTATTATAATAAACAAATAGAAATAGAAATTCATTTAGTTCAACATCACAATGGAATTGGAGAATTCCACAGACGCTGCGGAAAGAATAGAATTTTTAAATGAAATTTTTAAAAACTTCAGAACTATGAAATAATTGTTTTATTGTTTTTTTTTTTAGAAAAATATGTTCAATATCTTCCCCACACCGAAAGTTACCACCGAGTATCTCGCAAAGATAATGATTTTTCTTCTCGTGTATTTCCTGATGATTTCTATTTATTTGATAATGTTTTTCTGCAAGAATTATGGATGAGGGAGAAAATGATGGGTGAATATTAAATATCTTGCGAGTAGTACTCATTTCTATTGTGATAGCCCCCCGATTTCACGACCATTAGTTAATTGAATAAAAAATAATTGAGCGACGCTGATAGTGAAGAGTTAATGTATGAAATACTCAATATTACCCTTAAGTAATTTCAATGTAAATAATTGTGTGAGGGTTTGAAAAATAATGAATTGTACACGTCTCCAACTATCGAATGACGAAGAAAATATTTATAGCACGTGGTGTTTCCATCGTAATACGTATTAATTTGAGGTAATGAGTATTTAAGTAGCGGTTAATTCGGTAAGACCTCGAGTAGATTTGGATAAAGTTGTAATTAAAGAATTATGAATAACCGATTTTTTTTTTTTCTGAGAACTTAAAGTACATTTTTCGTCGGGTGTTGAAATTATTTTGACATCCGTACGGAGAAAAATCGAGATTCATGAATCGATCAGTCATAAATTAAGTGGTAATTGTAGACTATTGAAAATATGGAATATTGTAGAGAGAATAAAAATTATTATATTATGAAACATGAGATTGTGACTTCTCATTATTGCTTTTTAATTTTCGTATTTTTGAAGAGTCTGTAGATTTAATTATAAAAAGAAGAGGATGATATTTAGAAGCAATTGAAATTGCAGAATTGGAATTTTTTCTTTCTTCAGTCGATAAGGATGGAATTTTTCGGGAAATCTACAGTTGTCAATTGAATTTTTCCTCCTAACCTCGATTGCACTCTCAATTACACGTTTCACACGTTCATGAGGGCAAATAAATCGTAATTACAGAGTAAGAATGGAATAATAATTAGTTTAATTCTGACAATGGAACCACCGGATAATTTACAAGAATTGCAGACACGACTTGCAGCTGAAGAATCGTGTCTGAAAAAAAGTCTCGATCAAATTGAGGAGCAGATAAATGTCCTTCAGGTACTGCAATTGATTTTTCAACAATGTTTTGGTACTGTCATTAGTAATTGGAAATTGTTTCCAGATCGAACAACTACATTTAATTGCGTTGCTAAAGAACAGCTCGAAAGATTCAGCAAAAGGTGAGAAATCAAAGACTGAAGAACCTGAAACTAAAGTTGAAGAGCTCGACCTCAGTGTTCCATTCCACATGGAAGTCTTCGTTGAAGAGGAAGAAGATGAAGACGATGAAGACATGTAAAAACAAAAAAGTTCCCCCGAAGTTTCTCTAATTAAAAAAAAACAAGAAAATTTCCCTCTGGAAGAAGATTTATCAAATGATCGACAACCAGTGCTTCTGTACAGCTTTGCTTATAAATAATTTATAAACAATTAATTATTTTCTTTAAAAATTGTTTTCAAAATCATCATAAATTTCTGATTATCGTATGCCCAAGAGGAAAGAAAGGTGCAGAGAAAAGGAAAATTTGGATTGCGATCCAGTACCTTAACCCAAAAAACAACACGATTTATCCTTAAACATAATTATTATTTTGGTCCTTAACTGTACAACGAACATAAGACTATTCATAAATCGAATGAGGATTTTTATTGAAGCTCAGAAGGAACATCAAATGATCTAAAATTGAATTAAACTCCTGGATTATTTGAATCAATCCAGAAATCAGTTGTGAAATGGTAAACTAGGAAAAGTGCATTTCGTTTCGAAACCAGAGGTTTCACAGAAACCTTTTTTGCAGTTCCAATAATTCTCTGGAAAAAAAATCTAAGTGCAATTTATTGCTGCCCCTCAATAGCGAGATATCAGTGAAATATTGGCGTCGAAAAAAATGCATTTAATTTAGTCCTTACGAAAATTACGAGGAATAGCCTTGGGGTGGGGGTCCAAGTTGTGAGGGATCGTCAATCGTCGTTGGTTTGAACTGTTCTGCTGATAATCTAGTAAATAGGATGCCAACGCCCTCGATAAGGGCCAGGAGCATTCCTCCAATTATGGCACTGCCTGCCATAGCTGGCAGCCCGTTTCTAGCTGCCAAAATTCCACCAGTGGCAGCCCCACTTATTATCGAGTTCCAGGGATCTTCTTTCTGTCTGAAGTGAACGAGTGTGCAGTCTATCGTGGAGAACATTCCACCCCAGACTGCGAAATTACCAGCGATTATTGGGGATCGCTGTTTTATGGCCATCAGGGAACCCAGCAGGCGTTTGTTGATACCACTGGGGGCATTACGAAATCCTTTTATACTCTGGAATACACCACCACCAATTGCTCCCATTGTAAATGCACCTCCACAGTCGTCAACTATACGCCACGGACAGGGTTCTCTCGCATATTCCTCCATTTTTTAATATTTCGTTTACTTTTCGTTAAAAACCTGAGCAAAATATTGTAAAATCAATTCAAGTATATCAAGTTTATTGAGAAATTCATAAAATTCTGGAGATTATTCTTAGAGGTCTTTTTCCTGGATTTTATTATGGGAAAGAAATTCAAATAGATGTGAAGAGGTTTCTGAGATTTATTATCAAGAACTTTTATTGAAAAATTAAAATCAGTTTTTCGATTCTGCATTTGGAGAAGGCGGAAGTATAAAATTCAATTTTTATTTTTAATAATAATTGATTTCAGAATTTAAACTACTTGAACTTCTGGTTAGGACCAATGGAATTCAATTAGAAATTAATAAAAACAAACTCCTGGGGTGAATATTTAAAAAATTCCAGTGGAATTGAAATTTTCCCGTCAATTGAGATTTATAATTAAATAATTCACAGGAAGTTATTTAATGCAATGAATAAAATTCCATCGACTGTATTTATTAATTTGCAATTACGCTATTAATTATCAATAGTTGTGAAATTACAGTTCAATTTGAGGTTAGGATGATGACATCGCGGGTAACAACTGTCTAGAAATGAGAAAATTCCAGGATTCTCCAGGAAAATAAGTCCTCCAGGAAGTTCTACTCTCGAAGAATTGTTCTTTATGACAATTTACCTGAGATTCTATTCCCTTCTGCCCCGGTCACGCTTTTTTCCTCGCAAGGTTATTCCTGAGAGTTCAACGAAGAGAGTAAAGTAATAAGCGAGTCAAATTGTTAATTACCATAAATTACTCCACAACATCGATAATTATTTCTCGATGATTTTTCTAATAAAAAAAAAATCTCGAAAAATACAGATCCACTGAGAAAAAATTCGGAAAAATCTCAAGCTAAATTTCAGTTATATTTTGAATAACCATTTAGCGCGGGAACTTGTGAAAATTCAAACGTTTTGAACGCGAAAATTGTGAGCACATGATGAAATATTAATCAGTCTGGATCGATTAATTGGATTTTACGATGAGTTCAGCTATGAGAGGACTAATAGTCAATTGTTATTCATGATATTTCATGGAAAATTATGGACGATGGGATGCAGTCGCTGTTGGAACTGTCGCTGGATCTAAAATAGTCATCGTCGTGGAATCATCTAAAAATAATTCTTCCCTACTTCGTTCTGATAGTCTTTCAATATTGGGGGTTGAAGTAACACGCATAACCATCAGAATACTCATCTTCAATTGGATTTTTCGAAGCTGCTTTGAAAAATTGGAAAAATGTCAGAAATAGTGGAGTCCTGCAATGCAGCTGGCGATTCCTGTGAAGTGCAAGAAGTATCAGGAAAATTGGAGTTGAATACAGAAACTGCAGGGGCCGGCGAGCCTGGAATAGCTCCAGCTGACAAGAAACCTGAAAAAGCTGAGAAATCTCAGGCTCCAGAGAAGGAATTAGTTGCATTGTTCCAACAGAAACTACAAGTAAGCCAATATACTCTTCTACGTTTTTTAAATATCAATTCATCCCCATACTATTAATTTCATCACAAAATGCCTAAAGACCTTTTTTGCCTAGAATTTAATTATCTACAAAAAAATTATTTAACGTTTTCCTCTCAAATCGATAGTTTACGAGATAAATCGATCGAAATAAAGAAAAAATCATAAGTGAATGGAAAACGATAAACGAAATATGAAATTTTTGTAGAAATAATTAATTTGTGAGGAATTAATTATGGAATACTTATTACTTTACTTTACTTAATATTCGAAATAATGATTGTACTAATGATTTCAGGAGCGAACAAGGGAACGTGATGACTACAAGAAGAAAATCCAAGAGACGGAAGCTAAATTGTCAGCCCTTCAAGCCTCTTATGATGCTGTCACTTCTAATGGAGATGATGAGATGTCACTTCGTCGTCAGATCGAGGATTTTAAGACTAAATTAAATCAGGCTGAGCAAAAACTTGAGGGTCGCAGTCGCCTAATTGCCAATCAGGAGTGCCAGATCTCTGCCTTGGCCAAGCAAGTCTCGTCACTGAAGGAAGTCGTGGCCATCACCAAAAATCTACTCGAAATTCGAAACATGGAAGTGAAGCATTTGCAGGTATTTATTTCAATAAATATTTAAATGTTTATTATTTTACCATTATTTTAGTTCCAAAACAACAATTTCAATTGAATTATTCCATGAAAATCGATATAAATCGGAAATCATTGGTTGAATTTCTGGAATTGCTTTTAGATTCTCGTTATTTAGTTGAAAAAACTATTGTTTAACCGCATTAATGAAGTTTTACATTTTTTTTTTACAGGAAGACGTTAACAGCATGGAATCGAAAATTTCCGCTGAACGATCGCGACATGATGAGATGATAAACCGAATGAACGCAGCGGCGAAATTGAATGCCGATCTCAAAACCGAATACGAAACTCAATTGAGTCTTTTCCAAAATTTGCGGAAAAAATACGAGGAAAAGGTTTCACTGCTGAGTGATAAAAGTGAGAGCGAGGCGAATAATTCTTGTGGAAAGTAATTATTGTTGTACATATTTCGGGTATCAGTGAGTGTTTTAATAAATCCTGAGAGCTTTGTTTTAAACGAAAATCTGATGTAGCCAATTATTGCCACCGTAATTATAATGAAAATAGAATAATTTTTAACGAAGAATTTTTATTCTTATTATATTTTTTTTTGCGGAATAATGTTTTTGAGAAAACTGATTTTAACAAAGTGTAGCTTTATTCTTCTGAATAAATTTTCGTTTCTCAATTTGAATTCTTCGGTTCATTCAGACATTCAACAAACAAAATTGGACAAATTATAGTCATACATCTCGCGTGATCATTTGAGTTGGATAATGTTCAAATATTTAACGAGAATTATGAGGTGAACATCCTGCAATGTCTCATAACAGTTATTGAGTATAACTGAAACTAACATAGGAATATCAAGTAGATGTACAATTGTACAAATAGTTACATAAATTTTGGTGAAAACTTGGGACGAGACCATAGGAGGTATTGGTGTACGGGAGCTTCAATAAAATCGGCGAGTTAACAGTCATATTTTCTTTGATAATTTTTTCATTCACATCAATTCCAGCCGCCGTCATTTGCTAAATACAAACTATTGATATTTTATACTATCATATATTCTTTTTATTTCTACTTTTCACATTTCCGGGTGTTTCGCTTGATACTTAAGGCATGATGGAGAAAAGTGAATATAATACGTTTTTGTGAATGACTAAAAAAGTTCCAGTCTAATTTGAATATAAAAACTGAACTAGAAGTTACTTTTTCGAATTTGAAATCATGGAGTTTTCAAAAGTCTTATTCACTTCGTTAATGATTATTTCTGTCATCAGTCTGGCTGCAGGTAAGTTCTTTTTGAATTCTTATTTTAATTTTTAAATATAATTATATATATATAATTTTTATTTTTATTTTCAAATCTCAATTTATTGAATTCTGTAAAAAAAAAATGATATCTTGAGGAGCAATTCTACTTTCCCACTGGATTAGCAAAAAATTAGTGTCTCCTCTTTCTTTTATATATATTTATATATGTATTAAGTGACGTACATGGCATGTAAGTAGGCGTTTCACTTGAAAGATCAAAATATTATTTCAAAAACTCAGTATTGGAGTTTTTTCTTCGTTTTTACAGTCTTATTATTTTTAAATAATTATTATATTATTATATTTTCAGCCTATAACAGTCGGGAGCAATGCGTGGCGCGTTGCAAAGCGGAATCACCGGCATTAATGGAAGATTATTCCGAATTCACATTTGGATATGTCACGCATACATTCTGTGCTTGTAAACCTAGACCTGCCGAGCCGTTTGGTTCATGTTCGTAATTTTACATTCGGTTTTCAGAACGCACCACGCCCTTTCCGCCAAAATTCTAGTTTGATTCTTTTTTCTGGAAAACTTTTATGATGATGACATTGACGTGAAAAAATATAACGTTTTTGCGGTTCGTCATTATTTAATAATAAATGAAGTTTCATTTTTTTTCCAAGTTTTTAAAGACTCAAAACTGGAGGGGGAACTCATGGAAATTATTGCACCTCTATGGAATATCGGGACCCATTAGAATTACAAAACCCCAAGACGCTATATTTCTTCAGTCGATCCTATTTTTTATCTAAATGTATATATTTTAAAACGTGAATTTTGGCTGGAATGGTGTCGAATATTTTTAAGTAATGATCATTTAATGGATAAAAATTGATCTTCAGGCGGGGACAAACTGGAATATTGTGAAGCTGCATGCAGATTTTGGTATCCGGTAACCATTGGCGGATGTTCAAAATTTCCAGATGGAAGACTTCTATGTATTTGCAAAAGCAAGAGCGACTTAACAAGTGCTGAAGCGGCAATGATACCGCAGTCATTACGCATGAAGTAACGAATTTAGAATAAAAGAAAACAGTAGGAAACGAATTAATTTCCATTCATCTCAATATTTATAAAATCACATAAAATCCATGAAAAGAATACTTCTTACTGTAAATAAAAGATATTTATTATTTTATTTATCTACGAGTACTTTTTCCATAAATCGCTGCACAAATGATCCCAAAAACGCGCAGTAAAATAGAATTGAGGGGCCAAAATAAAAATATTTTCTCTCTCCTCTGGCTGTTTTCATGTTTGATTTGGAAAATTAGAAATTTCAGGGAAGACTCCGCCTTTTTTTCTACTGATGATTTCTCCCACATATGATGAGTTCGGAGGGCGATTAATTGCGCAATTGATTCCGAATTTAATAAATGACTCAAAAAAACGTCTCAAGTGTGCATTGTCAGTTTCCGGAAATATCTATTATATGCAGTACTTTTGAGATTACCCGTCTGACGTTCAATTCCCACGTAAACTACAATACGCGATGATAACGAATTGTATTTGTTGCTCTGGAAGCGTCAGAGATCAGGAAATGATCATTCAGGGAATTTTACGCTAACAAAGTTTCAGTTATAAAAGGACGTCCCAGTACAGCATTCTATTAGTTGTAATTAGCAGAAAGATGAGACTCATCGTATTAATAATTTTATTCATCTGCGTTGTCCAGTCGATGGGGAGATCTATAAGTCCAAAATCTAAAACACGGAACTATGAAGTCGGAGGAATTCTGCACGAAGTAAGTAATTATTAATTAATGCACGTGAAGTCATTGATGAAGAAGTAATAAGATGTGTTATCTGATCAGTTGATTACTCATCAGAACGATTTTCGCACGAATTATAATTTCATCATTAGAGCGCCAGCCCCTCCTCGTCCGCGTCCCACACTTCCATGGTAAGTCTTTTAATGAAAATTTAGTGATAATTACTCATTTGCTGTCGGCTAATTTTTTTTTTTTTGATCCAGGAGCAAACGGAGGGGTTGATTTAAATTCCCCAAATATCCTAGACTCGTGGAGGCAATCCGGAAGAAATAGCGGATGTGGTCCGAGGCCAATGGAGCAGATTATTCCGCAGATATTTTCATTGACTCGAAAGAAAACCTAAAATCAAAATTGATCATGTATTAAATAAATAGATATTGAAGCATTGAAACGAGCGTGAGACTGGAAAAATTGTATTCTATTCATTCATTTGCTTTCTGTATTTTTTTGTGATAATTACGATGATTTAAAAATTGTAGAATAAAGTGCAATTGAAAAAATAAAAAGTTCCAACGGAAGAGAAATTGCCGCAATTTTCTTTCATACTAATGCAAATAAAAACCTTTGGGATAATCGCTGGACCGTGAGATCGGTCTAATTTCGGGCGGACGTAATGATCAAAATTACGGGCGTCAAGTTTAATTCAAGAATCACGTGATGATAGCCAAATCCAGGGGTTCCGATGTCAGAGTTCGAGTAGAGTATGACGCCGTTTTTTTCAACGAGACTCTAGGTATAAAAACATCCGGCCTCGTGGTCCTAGATTACAGTACAAGAGAAAAATGAGACTAATAGCTTTTGGAGTTCTGATCGTTTCCATTGTGGCCATGAGCGAATCACCAGCTCCTGATGATTCAAAATTTGTTGATTTCGATAGAGGAATTGTTGGAATTGAGAGATACCCCCTTCCAGAAGCCGAAACGGTAATTATTTATTTTACTCCTATTCTATTATTGTAATTGCTGTGACAAATATTCTTTAATTTCTGTTCAGGCGACTCTCGATCCGTATATTATTTCCATGATGAGAAGACCGCGGAGTAAAGGATCTCCGGATATTCTGAATGTTATTAAAAATTGACATGTTCGCAATTATTTACAATTCTTGTTTCCACTTTTTTTTATTTTCAGGCAACGATTGAGTGATTTTTTTGTGTGTATTTTATTTTGAGATTTTTAATAATTATAAACAATAATTATCATTTTAAAAGAAACGTCAACATAATTTAACACCAATAATTAAATGAGTTTTTAATCTAAAGTGAATTTTTTCCTTTCGTTCTGGTATTCTGGGAGATAATAATTTATTCTGTAACGACAACCACTGGAGCTTCGTCGTCGTTCTCGTCCTGTAAGCTCTCGAAATCCCACGCAAATTTACTTGTTAATCTGCTTCTGGCCCTCGTAGCCTCAGATTTCAATCTGCCATCGACTTCAGGGCTCGATTCAATATTGGAAAAGAGGATGCGCAGGTGGTGGTACACGAAATTATTACTCGATACAATATCGCACAAGAGGTCTTCGGGAACGTGGGTCAATTGTATCTCAAGTGTTCGGAGGAATTCAACGTAGACAGCTCGACGTTCTGGAATTATTTTATCAGCACGACAGATGAGGGAAATCAGTTTTTTCCAGTGGTCGAAGGCGTCCCAACTCTGGCCTACGAGGAAACAGATAAAGGACAGCTGCAGCTCACCAATGATTTCTATTGGCCTGTAAATTCAATTTGTCCAACTAAATTTATGTATTTTCATTGAAACTGTTATTTAAAACTTCATTGATTCAATCGACTTTTTTAAACGAATTATTAATTCGAATTCTACGGATTCATTCGGTCAATATTTTTTATGTATTTCATTGAATTCTCACTCTTTAAATTTTTTCAACAGAATGTTGAGTGCGTAACTGGAGTCTAAAGAGTGCTGAGTAATTTCCATGGGTGTTGCATCGTCGGGATAATATTTGTCTGGTAATTCAGTCAATCTTAATTCAGTCCCTGGCAGTGGCTTCATGTCCGGCAGCAGGAGGTCTTCTTTTTCCTCAAGTGTCATAACTGGTCGTCTTCTTTTACGAATTTCACTGCCTCTAGGACGAGATGCATCATCACAGTGCACCAACTCCAGAGCAGATCTGACGTATCTGTACACATCCAAAACGTATTAAAACCCAAAATTAATAAACCACAGGAAAATTAACGCGGGCCCTTTTTTCTGTGGTCTATTTATTCGGGGATTCAAATATTTTTCTCACCCACACAAGGGTCGACATCTCTCCATGAGATCATGATCAATTTTACTCGTCAATTCTTTCCAGGGCTTCCACATGTCGTAAGGGTATGGTCCAAGGAATTTATCCAGGTCCTTCAAATTCTCTTTGAATCTCATTATAATGTTCTCCTCGACTTCTGTAATATTTCCCTTTGGATTAAATCAATTTCGATCGTATGCTCATTTCACTCTCGACCCTCACCTTGTACATCAAGATCCTCGGAGATTGTACTCCATTTTTTCACAAGCAATTCCTTTTCCTTGAACACGTGAAAGAAACCAACTCTCGGGGATAATTCCCCTAGTTCATTTACACCGCTGGAAAAAAATTCTAGTTATTATCGTTATTTGAAAGAAAAGAGGCAATGGATTTTTATTTTCCTCCAGCTTCATGTGTTTCATTATAAAATCCAAGATTAAAAATGAGATGATTTTTTTTATTTACCTGTAATGTACAAAGTGCAAACCAGGAGGGATCATTTTCATTCCCTTGAAGTTTTCTCCAGTGTTCCAGGACTTCAAGTCTATCCCAAAATCCGTACCTTTAGGAACATCTGAGATGATTAATGTCCCTCCAACTTCAAATAAATATTTTGCCAGCTCTGGGGCCATATTCAAAACGTCTCCACTTGTCATTTTTGTATTTTATGTTTTTATTATTGCATTAAAAAAACTCTCATCCCTTTTTCATTCACAAACAACGGGTCGGTTTACCTGAAAAAAAGGGTACCTTTGATAATAAATTATATATTAATTATAATTTTTTAATTTAGGCAAAGACATTTTATTTCTCGATGAAATTCCTTTAGGGTTAACCTCCAAATAAATTTCTAGATTTTTATGGCGTCGTATTATTGAATCCTTTTCATTCCAATCTCTAGTATGGAGTCATTAATTAAGGGTGACACTTACAGAATAGAACGAAAACAATTGAGGATTTAAAAAATTCACATTGTTTATGACCCCAGAGTTATCCAATAAATTGACACTTGTCTAAGGTTGTTGGTACAACGTGCAACCATTTTGAGATACAATCACCATCAAACGATTACCTGTCAAGAAATAAATAATTCATCATAATCTCTCCCTCTCCATATTACAATAATTTACCAACTGTGTTCGTTATAAAAAATAGGAAATACTTTATTTTCATTTCCAAACACGAGTACAAAAAATTTCTCTTAAAAATTATGAAGATAACTTAAACAATAATATTTTATGTGAATATATTATGAAATACTGACCAGAGGGGAAAACATAATATTAAATTACTCTCGTTAATCCACTAGTCCCTACTCGTTTTAATAAGATTCTCTCAGAGAGTTGTCATAAATGCTAATTAGTTTGTTTCGCTCAATCATGAAACCATGTCCTGATTGTATGATTCGGTAGTCGTCTCGAATTTTTCAAATCGAAACAACTGTTCGTAGTTCAATATTAATTTTCTTTGTCTTCGATTAATTCTGAACCAAATTACTTTTCAATTACAATTACCTCTTACTTTTTCCCGAGAATCAGTGAATTAATTCAGGAGAAATGTTTTGAGTGAAATAATTGTGAGATGACAACATTAAATTCATTGATAAAATAATTTAAAAAATTGAATGGAGTTAATAATGATGATAGACTTATGAATGACAATTTCGTTGTTAAACCTAGTCATCGTTGTCACTGTCGGAGCATATGGGAATGTCTGGTGCATCTAAATCCGCATCAGCAATTGAAAAATTGAAATGACGAAATTCTATGGGCACTGGTGATTTTGGAGGTGTTGGTGCCAGTTCAGAGTCCGATTCAAAGCCTTCATCGATGAATGGTTCCTTAGTTTTACGCATTTTTTTCACTAGTTCAAGGTCTTCGTTCAGGTCATACAAGTGGATATTGTCATCAATGAATATAGGAATGCTCTCTGGCTCTGGGTAAATGAATCTGGGCCTCTGGTTACTCTTTGGTGTCACTGGTTTCTTGAAGAGAAGATCGTCAGTACCTTTCTGTTTAATTGTTAAATTGAAGTAGGGGGATTTACACGGTGGGGAGATACTTTTTAGCTGTTTTTCACGTACAATTTGGAGCTTTGACGCTGTCTGTTTCCGGCGAGGTGTTAATGGTCGACTAGCACAGTCAAAAGTATTAATCTTGCCCTTGGCCAATGTCGAAGTTTTCTGTGATGGAGTGCAAACATTCAAGTCATTGTTGGATCGAATGGAGAGACCCCTTGGCTTTGAGGTATTCCCCTGCTTTAGGGGGCCAGATCCTGATCTTAGGGCATTTGCCTTCACCGAGAATCTTCCCTGTGCATCAGTAGATCCTAAAGAAGGGAAGCATAAAAAATTCGTAACCGTTCGGAATAAAATTGAGTGATGGAAGAATGAAATATCTCGAGTACTCACCAGCTCTTTGTGAAGTCCTGGGTGTTACAGTTGTTGCACCAAAGAGATTGAAAATGCCAGACATTTTTTGTCAAGTATTCAATCCTTGAAAATCTCAAAATTCAGTTGAAATTCTAAATAAAGTCAAATAATTCGATCGTCAAGAGAATTCTGTGTTGCTGTCGTCCCGATTTTCGTTGTTATGGCGATCCTTTTCATGGATTTTCCCCAACCGTCCACGGAAAAAGTGCTACTGCGCATGCGGCAGTATGCTCGTCTCGTCTGGGAATTTGACAATTCATGTGATGGTGAACTCAATGGAAATTAATGTTAAGGTTTTTTTGTGGAGAAAATTTGAATTTATCGACTGATTCTCAGGATTTCTGAGTCTTTTCCGTTCTCGAGTGATTTTTCGTGGCGAGTGAAATCCCGCGTTATATTCTCTCTCTTGTGATTGGCTGATTTCATACTTTTCTGGCTTCTTTTGAATCCCATGGTTACGCTGAATCAACAAATGTGAGACAAGTGGTCTATCTTATTTTAATTCTAATCAATTACTCAATTGTCGAGTCATTAATCGAACGAGTGGAGGATTTACCTTTGCTATTTTTAATTGTGATAGAAAAGATTATGAAGATGAACGAAGATTTGAAGTTTATCATCTCTGAGTTGAATAAGATATTCAAGAAGATTCATACATTGATTTCTTTTAAATCTGTCCAGTCTGGAGAGTTATTGCAGGTGATTTATATATTTATTATATAATTTATCTAACTGTCAAAATGATTCCTTATCATTAACACTATTTACTTGCGTATTTATTCTTCTGTATGATCTTGAATCTCTAATCATGTGTCCCAATATTTTAGATATTGAGTGATGTCTTATCGGATGTAACTGAAACTCCAAAAGTGGACATGAGAGATGAGAGTCTAGATCTGTCAGCTGTCAGAATTCTCACTATCCTGCGGGTGTTAAAATATCAACCGACTAAAGAACCTGCTCTATTCAGGTAAATATTAAGTAATTAAACTGAAAAAAATCATTACTCCAGTGGGAAAATTCTTGTGGAGTAGAGATTCAGGTTCCATATTTTTTCGCAGACAACGATTGGTGAAAGGCGATCAAGAAACAATTTACGAAGTTCTCAAATGGCTGTTTGCTAACAAAGAGATTGTTAAGCAACGAGCGTATCTATCTAAATTTCTAGTTAAGGTAAAAAATATAAAAATTAAAATTGTTATTGTAGAATAGCACATGATGGCTCAGTTATTGATGAAATGATGTAAAAATCAGGTGGAAGTACCTGCAGAATGGCTGGCAGATCCAGAAACCGCAGCTTTATATGAACGTTACGAGAATTTGGTGGAAGACTTCAAAATGGTCCACAAGGAGCGCGAAGCGGGTCGAAAGAGTGGAGAAGCTGCAGCAGAATTAAAAGCGGACTTGAAAGCCATGGAAAAAGAACGAGAAGTAATTCTGGATCGACTCGAAAAGATAAAAGTGCGAACGGCGTCGAACTCCCATCTCCTGAAAGCAGCAAACGCACTGAGAATTGAGCGTGACAGGTACCTGTCAAATTTCCTGATTCCATTTTCTAAATCAATTGAATTTTTAAAATCACTAAATGATTCAACAGGGACCACGAATTATCCCTCCAGAGAGTTCAAGAGAAAGAAGCAATCTCCAATCTCCAGGTGTCCTTGGAACGTGCAGAGAGAAAACTCCGTCTGCTCCAGGAAGCGGGAGTGGAGCTTTCACCTCAGGTCCTGGAGCAGAGGCTTTCGGAGGAGGTGATGCTGTTAACAGCAGTGAAGAACGAGAGGCTCCCGACGGAACTTGTCACCCTGAAATCTCGAGTCGAGGCTTTGAATTCAGTGGCGAACACTTATGTCGGTCCTGATGATATAATAAAGCTCCGCCAGAAGCTGGATGTCGTCGCCAGGGAGGTTCAGGCTCTGGCTGAGATCAAAGTAAGCGAGAGTGGGACCGATCAAATGGCGCCGTTTCGTCAGCAGGCAGCAGCTATTGCTGGGGTCAAAAGAAATACCCTGGAGCGTCTGGAGAAAACTGAGCAGAATTTCGAGGAATTGGTGGATAAACTCGAGGAGAAGAAGGAGAAAAGCAAAAGGATTGGTCAGGACTCGGTACCCAAGGGTGAGGATCTGAAGAGATATGTCACAAGGTTGAAGACAAAAAGTGTTCTTTACAAGAAGTGCAGAACGGAGTTGAGCGGACTCAGGGCGGAGGCCGGGGTTCTCAGCAGAACTCTCGCCATAATCGAGGGAAAACTCGCAAAAATCAAGACCAGGGAGGAGGACAAGGAGGACATCGCCAGGGAGGGAAGCCTTCCTGAGGGTTATTCCGAGAATAATGCTGAGAATATTAACAAGGAATTGAAGAAAAATCTTATGAGCTTTAAGGTGAAACTCGCACCGTTGCTGAATGAATTGCAGCCACTGAGAGTTAAAGCCCAAGACCTGGACGAGAGATATGAACGCGCACAGCGAAGTCATGAGTCTGTAGAGGCGTCTGTCAAGGGTACAGTTAGCAGTTTGTCGGAAGAAGTTAAAACCTGTCAGGAAAATGTTGACAAGGATGGTGTTGAATTGGTGAAGCTGAGAGACGAGATCTCGAAGCTTCGACTGGCCCAGGAGAGAATTCAGCAAGAGATGAGGCTGTACGCGAGTCACAGCGGTGGTCCGTCGTTTAGGGATAAATTGAATGAGTCCATCATTGGTGAAGAAAAAAAATCCAAGCAGTTGAAGGAAGAGGAGAAAGTTGTGCGAGAGCTTGTGGAGCAGAATGAGTACCAGACACAACAGTGGAACCATTTGATCGCGATTTTTGAGTGTAAATTACATCACATGAGGGAGAGCAAGAAACGAGATGGAATTGTCGTGAGGAAAGAAGGCACTGAGACTCTAATACTGCAGTAACTGAGACCTGTAACAAAATTTTGTTGTTGCAAATAATTTGAAGATAATTACAAAGACAATTAGAAAACATTTTATTTCATCATTAAGTTATAAAAAAGAATGGGATTGTCTTTTGATGAAAATATTTTATGCTATCAGGAGAAAAAGTCTCAAAAAAAATAATGGCCTCCAGGGCTGAGGGGCAATATTATTAATCAATAATAATTATAAAAACATAGGGAAGAGGGAAATGAAGTAATGACGTATGAACATGAATATGGGAGTTATTCAATTGTGGACGCTCCAAATCGCTGCAACTCCGAATCATTTCTTACAGAATTTCCAGGCAAAGATGGAGCAAGTCAACACAGCCACAGCTATCAACAACGACTCCCCAATGGGCTTGAAGAGTTTGCCATATGATTTCTGTTGGAGCATAAAATGAAAATATTAGTTCTCTTTTAATTTTAAGGACTTACTATTCATTATACCTCCGTGATAAATGACGATAACTCCCAGTAATCACGCTCGACTATCCCTAAATCCTCTAGAGTACTACTGATGGCCATGACGAGAGCCTCACTGGCTCGTTCATTTTTATTTTGATCAATGAGAAAATCAATGGAGGATTCCATTATTCTTCTGTGGGAATACAACACAAATGTGTCGATCAGATACAACTGTTGTCTCCCCTTTTTTAAAGTATCCAATAATTTTCCAATTCTGTGAACAAATAATCTGTAATTAATATAATTTTATCTGATAAAGCGCAATAAATCCATAAAAATAATAAAAAGTCTTAATTTAGATGAGATAGATGGATTTAAACGTTCTCTCTTGCTGTAATCATTTAACGAAAAATAATGAACAATTGTTTTTCCAATACTTCTCTTGATTGAGATCTCTAGCCGGTTCGATCTTCTTCACTCTAATCTTCAATTGTTGCTGCAATTTATCGGCCAATTCCTCGGTAGCCCCGAGTACCATTAAATCATCTTTTGATAACTCCGGAAGTGCATCCGTGGAAATATTCCGTTTTCGGAATTCTGGGATTAAATCGCGAGCGTTCAGACCCTCCAGGATCATCGCCGTTTGTTTCGTGAAACCCAGAGGATCTCCGTTATCCATTTTTAGTTAAAATTTAGTACTAAAAATTAATTATTTCTATGATTTGATTAATTAATTATGAATTGCCGAATTGATTATGACAATTTGCCAAGTCGTAATTGTTGGCATTAAAGATTGATATTGGCTTCTTCCAGATTCTAACCTATATGTATATTTTTTTTTAATTTCGCATTCCAAGCGCGCGCATTACCTCGGTTAATTAATCTATGGCGATTAATTGCACTTAGATATTGGCATAAGCAGTTTTTTAATATTTTTTGGTTTAATTTTAATTGTAAGACAATGAAATCGAGGAATCAGTTCTTTTCGTTTTGTTTATTCATGTTTTTTAAATATTGCTTCATGGAAAATGACAGCAGGTGGCAGCCACTTCAATGCGCATACGCAGTTCTTTAGCGGTGAATGACGTCATTTCCTGATTGTATTGAGACCGTTGCATTTCTTTCGAGTCAGTACAGACGTGAGCCTCACCACGTGTTTACGAGGTTGAAAAAACAGTATAAATTCCGTGAGGTTTTAATTCTGAAGCGTCACATCGTTCCGTATATTTTTCGAGTACAAATAATTAGATTGATAATGGAGAACGGTAATAAGGAGGCGAAAGAGGTGACTGCAGAGGAGAAACAAGATGTTGCGCCGGAGAAGCCGCTGGACGAGACCAAATCTCAAAACGAGGGCAAAAAAGAAACGATGGACATTGAAGAGGAGAAAATTGAGGAGGAGGCTGAGAAACCCGATGAAACCCCCGAGGAAGTCACACCAGAGCTCCTCCAGAAAATCAAATCACAGGTTGAGGTGAGAATCATTTTTATCAGTCAGAGGTAATCTAACCTCAATTTTTTGTGGGAGGAGCTCAAATAATTAACAACTTTTCAGTTTTTTTAAAGAAAAATTTAAAGTATCCTTGCACTTTCGGTTAGCGTATTGAAAAACTGACAAAAGTTTTTAAAAACCTCGATTGAATGCGGGATCATATTTTTTTTCATCAATTCACCAATTGTTTTGAAAGAACAATGCAAATAAAATATAGAAAGATAGAGCATTTGTTTTTGTCTGATGTAGATTTTCGGGAGATAAATTTTTCTATCAGTCAATGATTGATTTCTTACATATTCGCCTCGTAGATGATGTGAAACTCTCCGAGACTGAAAAAATATAAAAACAATATTTTTTGTCGTATTCTCAGAGATCATCATTTGTATATATAATAAATAACAAACGTTACTTTTTTAAATATTCAGTTTTACTTCGGTGATGTCAACATGGCTCGTGACAGGTTCCTCATTGAGCAAGGGAAGCTTGATGAAGGATGGATTCCAATGAGCATAATGCTGAAATTCAAAGCCCTGGCATCCCTCAGTCAAAATGTGGAGACAATCCTGAAGGCAATCGAGGACAGTGAACTCATGGAGATCTCCGAGAACAGGAAGCAAATCAGACGCAGTACAGATAAACCCTTACCTGTTTATGATGAGGCCTACAAACAGGCACAGTCAGAGAGGACGGTTTACTGCAAGGGCTTCCCGAAGGAGGGAAAGATGACTGTACAAGTCCTCAAGGATTTCTTCAAAGATTTTGAGCCCAATGAGAATATTGTTGTAAGTACTCCGTGACACAGCTGAATAATAAAGAAGACTCCACTTTGATATGAAATTTTATTATGAAAGAAATTAAATATTTATTAATATTTTTTGTACACATAATGTTTTTTCTTAAATTGAATTAAATTTTTTATTTAGGTAAGAAGATGGACTGATAAAAAGACGAAGGAACAATTCTTCAAGGGTTCAATATTCGTCCAATTTACGACTCTAGATGGTGCCAAAGCTTTCATGGCTAGAGATTCTGTAAAATACGAAGACACTGAGCTGATCAGGATGTTCCTGAGTGATTACCTGGCGGAGAAGGCTAAGGAACGTGGAGAGGGCAGGTCCTCCAAGAAAGATGGAAAAGCCAAGAGCAATGAGAAGGTTAAAAATTGAATTGCTGTTAATTCAGTCTACATAGATTTGAGTATTATTTATATTTCTATTATTTTGATTTTTACTGTTAGGAGGGAGACTCAGTAGAGGCAGAAGAGACTGAAGACGTATCTGGATTTCCGAAAGGCGCAGTTCTAGGGTTCAAGGAGGCCGATGAAAACGTTAACCGGGAGACGATCAAAAAGGCCATCAGTAACATCTCATACAACTTCTCAGATCAAATAGCTTACGTTGATTATGAGAAGGGAAATAAAGACGGGTTAATACGATTCCAAGGAGAAGGCACTGCCCAGAAGCTTCTCAAGAAACTCGAAGGCTCCAGGGTAAAGTTTTTAAAACTCATTGGTATTTTAACGACGAACGCCTGCAATTGTCATGTCCAATTAATAATTTTTTACAATTTCTTTGTGAATTTGATACAATCCATCTCCCTTTTTAATTGCAATAGTTATGCAGGCATTTATTTATTTATTTATTTCATTTACTTATCTGACTACTTTCATTTCAGCTTACACTTGGAGATTGTAAATTAGAATGTTGGGTTCTGGAGGGCGAGGAGGAGGAACGGTACCTGAAGAAAGTCAAGGAACAGATGTTGCAGAAAAAGCAGCAAATTAAAAACAGCAAACGTGGTCGTGCAAAGAGAGGTAAATCTATTTTCCATGACTCATTTTAATTGTGAATAATGTATTTAAGGCCCTGTATTTATTTTTTTTTATTCACTTTTCAATTTTCTCCAAGATCTTGAAATTTCAAATCTAATATTTCAAATATTCTTTGGTACAAGTGAAGTGTAAAATATTTTGAATTAGAAAATGAAGTTTGAGAATTAGAGATTAATTTAGAATTCCATTAAAGTTCTTTCGAGAACATCTGAAACACTGCAGAATTATCATTTTTATTCGCGAAATATTGTGAAAAATGATCATGTGATGAATAGCCATGCTAATACTGAGGGATCTCCAGGATCTCGCTGAGTTGAAAAAAACTCGAAAAAACTGATGGTCTATTTTCCTCAGTTGTGCAAAAAATTAACTCTATTGATCCTGAATTAATTGAATATTCATTGAACTCGTTGCAGGACGGGGTGGAAGTCCCAGGGGTGGAAAGAGGCGTGGAAGTCCCACCCGTGACACACCACCAGAGAAAACAGTCAAGACTTCATAAGTTACTTTTGTAAGTTTTTGTTAACTGTAACAAATCATTTTCTTTATCATTCTCGCTCTTACATTTTCGTTATGCTCCTTGGTTGTGGAAACCAAGCCCCTGTTCTATATTTTTTACTCAGGATTTGAATACCATTATCTTAAGAACATTGACAGAATCGAGAGAATATGTATAACCCAGTTTAATTAAAATTCATGAGCTTCATAAATTTGTATTTATTGTTGTAACTGTGAAATTTACAAATATTTTCCCCTTCCATCAATGTCACCGTTACAACAACTATCGAAAATTCATCAATTTTCATTAAATCAATGAACAATAAATTCTCCAAGCAAATCTTATTCATATCAATGGTTTTTTTTTTTGCATACGTGGATATGAAGTTTTCTTCTAAAATAATGAATTTTCAGATAAAAAAGTTGAAATAAATTATTCATTGCACGCAACTAAACAGACACGGATCCCCAATGAAACACCCAAGCGTAATTAATTTCTAAAGAAAAATCCTTTATTTATACCATTACCATACGTTTTTATCTCAAATAGAAAGACATCCTTATCATTAATTTAAACCTCTAAACCACAATTATTCATTTGCATATGAAAAGACGGTGCGATTATAGTCAGTAATCATTCACCCCTAGCAATCTCTCAACAGTCGAAAAAAAAAAGAGAAAAACCATTTCCATAATCCCAAGAGTTTCTGCACTCGAGCAAACATTATCACTCCCTAAACAGTTGAAACACTTTCTCCAGGAGGGCCAAGTGAAAGTCAGAGATTAATAAAAATTAAACTCATCACTGCAATAAGTCAGATTGGTCCAATTTAGTATCTGATACTCATCGATAGTTGACATCCACTAAAACAATAAGTCACAATGAGAGTATCAAAAGAATCCCAAGCATATTCAGAATCTCGTGTCCTGAACTTGTTCATCAACCTCGACGAAAGTCACGTGCTTGGGTTTGTTGCCCCCCTGGGGCATTCCCTAATGTTATACAGATATCTCTTGTATTTGAACTCGTTTCTTGATGGTACCACCAGTGCTGAGAGAGCTGGTGGTCCTGGTGGGTGGTTTGGGGGGTGTTGTGTCCTTTTGGAGAATGGAATTACCAATGTTTCCCCGATTGTTCTCGTGGATACTGTTTTCCTGGTTGTCATCAGGTCCCTCCTGGGGGCTAGAATCCTCGATTGGAGACTCCTGGATTATGGGGGGACGAGCCAGGGTGGTATAGCACGGCGGAGGCTCTTGTGTAGGTGGTGGATTGTCATTGGTCTTGTTGGCAGGCCTTGTGGTCATTGGCAAGGACTCTTGGCCATTTGAAATACACTCCATTGCTGCTCTCTTCTTGTCTCTGTCCCTCTGGTAGTAAATACCAGCGAAAATCAACATATTTAGCACTAGGAGGATGCAGCCCACTCCTACTGTTATCGCCAAGGCTGTTGTTGTACTGTAGAATTGGCGGGAGGCGAGCTGCTCGTAACTGTCTTTTCTCTCGTTCAGAACTGATGTCACGTCCGGCGTTGTCGAACCCTCGGATATTGATGTCGTGCAGGTTGTTGATGATGTGCTGCTACGTGTTGTGGCTATTAGGGGCACTGGGGTGTGCCATTCATCACGGACTGCTCCTGAGGAAAAAAGCGAGGTGAAGAGATATTGGGGGCATCCTTGGGAGATGGATCGTCTTGGATTTAGGGGACGAGGGGAACCGATAATTTGAAGAAGATTGATAAGGGATTTGGAAGAATATTGACGGGAAATTAGGACCTGCAGATGTGCTTCCCATTTTTTTTTTTGGATTTTATTATTCATTTTTTGGGAAATTTGAGGAATTGGAACGAAAAAAAGGGTTTTCGGCAATTTTTATTCATTTACCTGCATAGAGGTGATCTCCATGCTCTCTGAAGTGATGATGACGCATTGAGACGTCCTCGTCTCCAGGTTGATGAAGCTGGGGAATCAGATTGAGCCACACTGCCATTTTATGACCTCGGTAGTGGCTTTTTATCCTGGGTTTTTGCGCTGCACGTAACACACTCGAATTACGATAAAGTCTTTTTCCTCGTTTCAGTGGAAAAAAAAAGAAATTACCTATTGTTAAGTAGAATTGCGAGCCAGTCTCGTACTGATCCCACGTGAGACCACGAAATCGAGCTTTTTCTTTAACCGTACCGTAGTCTACGGACTCGATGTTGTGGGGGGCGTTTGGATTTCCAGTCTTAGCGAAGTTTGTGAAAAATGTTAGAACTGCTTCAGCAACTCCTTGATCCTGTCTGCTGTAATTTAAGGGGAAGAACGGCCCACCCGAGATGAGAGGAAGGCCGAAGACGTATGCGATGTCTTCACCTCGAACACTCCCCAATCGCTGAGCAGAAAGAAATTCACTTAGAAAAAGAAAAAAAAACGAAATTCCTCGCAATTCAATTCAAACTCTACTGGACACCTTTTATTTGTACTAAAAAATCAACAGAGAAATAATTCCGGGCTATTTATGAACGAGAAAATATGACACATTTCCCTACTGAATTTTTCAAGTGTAATGAATAAATTTATTTCAAACAAAATCGGCGAACAAAAAAGTTGGGATCAACGTTTTCAATTAAATTTTCCTAATTATTCTCGATTAATGAAACTTCCCTAATTCCTAATGAACTTTGAAAATTAGTAAACTGCAGAAAAAGTTGAGGGAAATTTCTCCTCATTTATGCTCCATCCTTATTAACTGTTTCCTTAATTTGTTTAATGATAAAAAGTACGTAATTAGATTATTATGTTGAATCGTGATAAAACGTGAGAAAACGTGAGACCTCGAACGTGAAAAGTGATGGAAATGGTAGAGTTGAGGTGAATGATGAAATGAAGTGTGGACTGGAGGGTGAAAGGGTGGGTTTTCACCCAAAAGCGTCTTCTGTAAAGTTCGGTGGATAGTGAAGGGTGAAGGGCTTGATCCCTCTCGCCCTCTCATCCACCGATTTAATGGAGTTAACCCGTAGTCCTAAGTGGCTCAGCTTCCTTTCCCTATTCTCTTCTCCACTCCTTATTCTCACCACCCATACCTTCATCCACCCTTAAATACTGACGTCAAGGCGTCGTCTCGCCATGAAAACTTGTTTGGCTTCCAGCTAAATTTACGGACCTATGCTTCAACACTCACTTTCATGGCGATTTAATAAATCTATAGCCCTTCAAAACTTCAGAATTTCATATTTCAATTAAACTTTCAACGCAATTTCCAAATTGCTTCCAATCAAAAGAAAATATTACGAACTATTCCAAAATTATCCTGTTAAATTACTCTTTTCATTTTTCAAAAGTAGAGTTTTTTGGAAATTCTGAAATTCCGAAGGAATTCTTCCAGGATAAATTGCAATGCTGGATATATTTATATTATTGTCATGATATCATGTTTCCGTTTTGGAGAAAATGTTTTTAATATTAATGGATAATAAATAAAAATGTTGTGCTCCACTTATCTCACTTTACTCCGCTCCTGATTATTTTCATAGCTCTTGTTATTTCTTATAATCGCTGTAGAGAGTTATTTACATTTAATGGGTGATTACGTTGAAAATTTACACCATCGTAACGTGAAAATATTCGGAATAAATTGTAGTTTATGCGCTGCGGAATCGCTCCAGAGGGAAGCTCTCATGGACCATTTGAGGAAACTCGGTGAGAGCTTCCCACTGGTGCATATTTGAGTATATTTTCATCCATCTAATAAGTAGTTACGGACGTTCGAATGCTACACTTTCATCCGATCCCATCTTCTCGCTGAAAATTTCATCTCAAACTTTCACCATAAATCGAAATTAAATGGCAATTCATTCCTAATCGAACTATTTTCCATTTATAATATATTATTATAACTTCTTCAAACCAATTCCCTTCTTCCTCCCGTCAAATCATGCGTCTCCACTAATTTTATAATCAAACAGCCAAAAAAGAATAAATAAAATAAATAAAAGTGACGAAAGTACCGTTCACTCTCGTAAACAAACTGAAACTTAACGATTTCCTTCTAAAAGAAGATCAAATAAATTCGAGGATGAGAGGAAAAACTCGAAACTTCATTCCCAAATACGATAAATGATCCTTTGGTTGGTTTCACCGTGTATAGATAATTTAGGAGCCTTATAAATGATAAACCCAGAAAATCTCAACACTGTTTACAACATTTGCCTCGTTCACTCACATTGAAAAGTGCTCCCGAGTGCTTTTACAGAGGTGAAGGTATAAAAATTGCACACATACCCTTTTATCAACAGCGAAGAAAACGTAGGAATAAAGAAATAAAAATAAAAATAAAGAGATCTCGTATATAATGGATATAAAAGGGACTTTGGGATATGGGCTTGGAGGGCAAAAGAAACTCGCGTCTGAGCATCGCCTCCGGTGGGGGCCACAAGCTCCTCTCCTTTCCGCCCATTTCTAGTGCAGAATCTGACGTGAAAGAAAGTCTCATTCACCCAACTTATCCACAACTAGACCGAAAAAAGGTGAAATTCAGGGGAGGAGAAAAAAAAAAGAAGCAGCGCAAAGGAGATGAAGAATCTTTGGTTCATAAGAAAGGAGCTCTTTCAGGTTGAATCGAGTGTGCCCTCTTATTTCTCGTGTATGAATACACTATTGTACGGTGTAGGAGAGATAAGAGCTTCCTGGCATGTGTAAACAGGGACTGCAGTAATTGGAAGAGCAGTGTCAATTAAGGTAATGACGATTCTCTAATGAGTGTATAAGTACTCCAATGAATTCTGCAAAACTGAATTAAATCACCAATTAATAGCGCAATTAAGGGGAATGAAGGATAATATTGAGTCGGACGCGATTAAATTGGAAATATCTCCAAGGAGAACACCAGGTCATATTATGATCTTATGATCTTTGTAGGGATGAATTGCCTTTAAGAAATTATGGCCGACAGTTCATATCTCAAGTTTTTTTACAAATTTCGGAGAAACGATTGATAAAATAGAGGGGAAGAAATAAACTTATGTTTAATATGAGTTTGAAATGCATCGCTAGAATATGGAATATGGCCTGTGGTGTAAGTAGTTTGAGTGAATTATCGCTTAATTACCTGAGGATAAGCACCGTCTTTAGTTTGATAACTGAAATGAAAGAAGTACGTCTGCGCTCCTCTCCTGGCATGATAGAACGCTATTCTAATGAGTGGAGCAACTGTATGACCATCGCTCAAAGCCTCCATAGTTGACTCTCTGATATTAATTGGATGCAGAGTTGGTTTATCCCAATCAGTGTACTCATTACGTACTGCTGAGAATATCTCGTTCAAATGATAGTAGTACGCATTTCTGATGTATGTCCTGAGCATACGATTGCGCTTATCCTCTTCAATGCCAATTTTAATTTCATCGTCGTTGAAGTCAAAGCATGCCTCGGCTGTGGTTACCCCGAGGATCAGTGGTACTTTGATAAAGGCATCACTGGCACGCTCCATGTCCAATCCAGGATCTGGATTATTTTGGTCGACTGGCAGTGCTGGTCCCACACGAGGCATGAACCTGTAATGAAGATCATGCGTTATTTTGGGGCCAATTGGCCGCTTAGAGAGTGGAAATTTAATCTCCGAGGGCTACGATATCCTGGGGGTTCATTGATTTTACTTGATCTCGGGGAGCTCCACATTCTGGAGAACACTCAGTGGTACACTACGTAGACAATCGGCTATATCATCATCTTCATTCTCCATTGAACAGCCCAATTGCTCGCCAACACGACTACGGAGATCATTTGGGTCGTGAACTGTTGCCCAGGGGCTCAGTGCCGAACCACTTAGCAGTACTACTCGGTGCAATAGACCTGGGGAAACATCAATCTATCGTCAAGTTGGATTTTATTTTTCTAGAAAACAAGTCAAGTTTTTGGCGCTTGTCCAGAAATACTAAAGCAGTTACTAGAAATATTCTGCTATCTTCTCGAAAAATGAAATGAAATAAAATAAAATAAAATAAAAAAGTACCTAAAACTCCGCGAAACTTAATTTTCCTTTAAGAGCCTTGTTATAGCTATTTTTACCAATTCGAAGGTAGAAAAATAATTTTAGAGTTTGTGGAAATTGAAATTGAAGTGCTGGTAAATGGGATTTTTCTCTCATGTGGAGATTATTTTCTTTATTATATTTCGTTCCGGAGATAGAAGTTGAACTTCAAGAATTCAGTGGAATTTAATTGAAAATAAAAGTAGAGAAGATGTTGAAACGTTCATTTCATTCCGGTAGGATGAAATATAGACCGTGATTTCCAAATTTCTAGAGACAGAGAACTGCATTCGAAATGGCTCACGAGTCTCTCGAAACCGTATATAAAATAATCCGCCGAATAATACTATCTTCACACCTCTTTCTTCAGCACAAAAGCCCATAAATCCGCGTCATAAAACTCCATCACTTCCGCCTAAGCTATTTCCCATAAAGCTTCTACAAAGAACTAAATTACATAATTCAATCATTCCACCGCAAAAGTGCACTCAAGGCATCAGTAAGACTCTATTGCCTATTGAAAGTAGAATCCGATGGTGAGAACATTAAAATACCAAAGACTTTGGGGGCGAAAAAAAAAATAGGAAAAACAGTCTCGTCGCATCGGCAATACTGGCATTCAGCCAATCTGCAGTTACACAGGAGAGGTATTAAAACTGGTACTTTCCCAACGCCAACAAGCTTTTGTATCCTTTTTTTACCCTCTCCCCATCTCACCCCAAAATCTCATCAACTTTTATTACGTCCAATGCCTCATCCTAACTATTAGTCCCATCTCTTTTTCTAATTTTCCAACTTTCTCCTATCTGTCTTAAAAAAGGACAGGCAACAAGAACTACACAATAACTGCGAGGAAATTAAGAAGAGAAGTATTTACCTTCACTAGAAAAGACCGTATATACTGATACATAACATAAATACTCTGATATTTATACGTGACATATTGCATCTTTTACTCATGGAAAAATATATGTTCGTTTTCGGTTTTGCTTCACGGAATTCAATTTCTCATCGGACGAAACAATGGATTGTTTACATCTTGTAAATTGGTGAAAGTAGCAATTAAGGGTGCAACTATAGCGGAATTTTAATGTATATAAAAAAGCAATGCATTGTAACGTGATAGATAGATATTTTCTTCCGTTATTCATGAGGATATTGAAAGTAAATCAAACTTCGAGATAGGAATAATGGCATCAACGGCTCGGAATATGGCGGAAGCTCATTTATTGTCTCAGGATATAATGGCATGGGGTTCCTGAAAGCTATCCGAGCCAATGAAATCTCTGGGACACACCAGTGGCTCCCGTGGTTCCTCCTGGGATATTACTTTTTCCACTTCCTCTTCCTCTCTTTAGTTATCATCCACTCATTTTTTCCTATCTTATTTTTATTATTTTTTATGCTGTGGTGGGCTCGAAACTGTGATCAGGGGATGAAAAGTGTGGGCTGGTGAACTGGTGGCAAGATGTTGCACGTAATTGCTGGAGGATATTGGTGGCAGATGCTTGGAACAACAAACGACGGAAATTTAATACTCGTTTTTCTAGGAGATGAGAGTCTTAGTGTTTCTTTTTTCCAGGAGCTCGTGGTTTTGGCTGGTTGCGGTGTGCTAGTGGGAATCAGGCATGATGTGTTCAACTTGGTGAACTTTTCCATGATGAAAATCTTGTTTCACCAGAAATGCGAGACACCGGTTTTTCTGTTCTTCCAATATTCATTGGAGTTTCATTAGAAATTTTAAGAAATTACGATAATGAGCACGCATATAACTGAACTTATATGAAATTATATGAATTTATATGAATTATCAAAATCAGGTTTCAGGTACCCTCTGAAGGGTAGGGGAAGAAGATAAGAAAAATTATTAAATTTTGTATCTTTTATGCGCTTCAGTCTTCAGCAATAAAATTTGGAGGAAATACAATCGTTTACTTCCGGAATTTTATTAACAATTTGTACTTCTGTTATGAAATGAAATTTTATCCGTTTAAATTGCCAGATCCATTTTAAAAATTCATTCACTTAATTTTTTGTTTTTCGTCTTTTGTATATCTAAAAAAAAGAATGGATTCACCGTAATATTTGTTCACTGATTCAATTGATTCATCCGACGTTCGCGTAGCCCAGCAATAAAAATTATGTCATTTATTCCAAACAAAACAGTTTCGCCACTAGTTTTTTTTTATCTTCTCCTCCCTCTAAAAATCGGGGTAATCTGATTGCCGCATTGCCAATTGATTTACGTGACAGCCCAGCGAAGCGAAATTTCCATCGACTCGGTGTAGCGAACAAACTCGGAACGCCACAAAATCCTCTAGAAATTTACATACCCAATTTTTCACCATTCCTTTTTACCCCAGAAAGTTTGTAGACAATGCGACAACAGACAAAGAGAAAGGGATAAAATCGGGGGGTAAGGGTAAAAAACCTGAGAGAAAGTGGTAGTTGCGCTGAGTAAATCAATGAAACACCGTTGCAATCTCTCCACCGGAAATGCCTGTAGTTCTGCCATGATTTCCGGTTGACAAAGAGAAACACGAGTTTATATCAGAGGAAAAGTGCACTAAATGTAGTTCTGCTCTTAGCACCATTTTCCGGTCATTGTTTCAGGGATCGCGTTTTTTTTCTTTTTCACTTGATCTTCGTGGGATAAAAAAAAATATTTTCTCTTCGATTTTTCAAGCTCAGCAGGGGTTTACGAACGAGTGACTTCCGCCAGGAAAAAGGAAAACATCTTGTTACTGTGCTTAAGAGCACGGAAACAAGAAACTGGGAAGAAAGTTCAGGGATAAAGAAAAAAAAGCGTTAGAAGTGGCGGAAGGGAAGAGAGATTATAAATAACGAGGATGTCAAGTCGCTAGCTATGGGAGTAAAATGATGCCCGTACATTTAGGTTGATTGAACGTCAACGATCAGATGTTGATGCTCTTCAACTCTGGGAAATTGCTATAAAATGGGGTTAATGGTGGGATTGGGATTGATTGTTCCGGGGATGATCCAGGGAATGTTAATAGGGTGGTAAAAAAAAAATAGCAGACCTTTGGCGAAGGGGGCGAGGAGAACGAGATTGACGAGTGCTGCACCGGTGTCGTGACCCATCAGTGTGACCCTCGTTGAATCACCACCGAATGCTGCGATGTTCTCTCGCACCCATCGCAGACCCATCGCAATGTCCCTCAGTGCCAAATTACCACCAGATTCGCCACTCGTGTCTGGCACCCCCCGAGTCCTCAGGAAACCTGGAAAAGCCCATTTATTTTTGGTCTTTCAGGGGTCATCTAGTAGTGAGTGGAAGCCATACGGAGGAAATTCAGGAATAATTCTGGCGATTTTCAACAAAATTTATGGTTTTAGGAATTATTCCCCCAAATAAAAATTTCCCAGACAATCTCCCCTGAGAATGAACATAAAAATAAAATAATATAGTTATTCGTTGGATGGCGTACTAACGACTGTCATCTCGCGATCAACAGAAAAATATTCAATCTCTCTATCTGTTTCTTTCTTGTCGAATACTTCTGAATACATCTTGAATAATCCCCAGTTCAAAAGTCGAATCCCAACAAATAATGCAATAAACAAAACAAAAAGATCGACTGAATCATAAGTCGAATAAAAAAACCTTTCCTAGCACAGATAGAATACGTAATAGTTCTTTACGCACATGAAGTACGACAACACAAACAATTAACAACAACAACTGCAATAACTAAAATGATTATACAACAAAAAATTTTAAAAAATCGAAATAATTAAGTTTTTTGGAAGAAAACGGAAGATTTTCCCGGGGATTTTGGCCAGGATATTTTTTCCCGGGAGAATAATCCCGACGCCGAATTGATTGGAAAAGTGGCTTGAAGATTGTTTAAACAAATAGATATTAAATTGATTTTGAAAGAAAAATGATTCAGGGGTTAAAGCCCGGTACTCGGCAGTTCTGGTGATTTTTTTTCCGCAAGAATTAAAATCCTGTCGAGATAATTTAATTTCTAGATTAGAAAAGATAGAGAAGTTATAACAGAAAAATTCGAAGGGACTTAACAGTCTTAAAAGTCTTTGAACTTACCCAAAATGCCAAGCCTGTAATTAATGGTAATGACAATGACATGTCCAGCACTGGCGAGTACAGATCCATCGTAGACATTTCCAGTTCCCCATTCAAAACTCTCTCCATGTACATAAACAATAACTGCATAAGGTGCCTCGAGTCCCCTGGAACCTGTAAAATTCACCAAACAAATAAAAAGAAAGTGAAGTGAAAAGAAGACATGGAGGTGACGATTAATTTCATAGCACCAGTGTTCTCCACTTCTCTTCATCCCTCGCTATTCTCTCCTTGGATATATCTACAAGCCTGCAGTTTTCCTAGTTGGAACTTTGCTCGTTATTTATATAGATCTCCCCGGGGGAGTTCCGAAACGAGCTAACTCGGCGACCGCCGTCGGTTAATTAATCGTCTGGCCCTGTGAGTCAAGGTGTCAGATTCACCGCTCGTGATATTCACTACTCTCCTCTCCTCTCAACCCCTCCCGCACTTTTATACCATTTCCTTCCCTTCATCCCTTCATCCCTTCATCCCTTCATCCCTTCATCCCTTCATCCCCTCATCCCTTCATCCCTTCGTCTCACCCCAGAACCACCCACCTCTCAGAAGTCCGATTATATCTCTCTGGAATATTTTCGGGAATTAAGGGAAATGAGTTACTTCCAGTGAAATCTTCCAGGAGGAAAAATATTCCCTATTTTCAATTAATTATTTGCATTCAGAATAATTTCTTGAGTAAAAGAGTATTATTTATTTTTTTTTTTGGATTTTCAATCGAATAGAAATAGCAATCGATACTTGTTTTTATTTTTCATTTCATATCGACATTTTGAAGTCAAAAATATCGCGCGAGTTCTTCGAAATATGATTTTTATTTTAATAAAAATTTGGGTAGAAGGTATGTTATCGTTTTTTAAAATATTTTTAATGGATTTTTTGGATTAATTGGAATTCCGTATGAATTAGTCCCTAGGAGTCAAGGGGTTGGATTTAGATTCGTAATATTCCTCTCTCAAACCCTTCAGCACTTTTATACCATTTCCTCCCCTTCAGTCCTCCACTATTTCTCACCCCCAGCACTCGTTGCAGTGCGATTATATCTCTGAAATCTTTTCCGGAATTAGTGGAAATGAGTTCCTTTGAATGGTACGTTCCAGCAGAGAATCGTTATAGTCTATTCTCTAATTCCTATATCCTCGTAGCGTTTGATCCTCCTCCAGGGTGGATGTTTCCGGCGATGGAGAGAAACAATCTCATTCCTGAGAATTTCAATGAGAAGGGGTAATTGAAAAGTTGGTTAACATTGAACGAAATGGGGGAAGGACTGCCCGGGGGTTCTGTGCGAAAACAATTGCGCTTGAAACATAATTATTTCTGGAAAATAAGTTGAACAGAAACAAAAGCAAAAAAAGTATTTTCAACCGAGAGTATAAAGCGGAAAATCTGCTGAATCATTTTTGAAAAAATTAATAATCTCAATTGGATTTATCAATTGCATAATTACAGCATGACGGCCAGTGTAATTTAATTTTCATGTAATTCCCATGGAATATATACATATTTTAATAATGTAGTGGTAAATCGAAATCCGAATTGAATGTTCACATTGAAAAATAATTTAATTAGTTGTTCGAAGAGGAGTGAAGGGAATAAAATGTGAAAATAAAATTTATAAATGAAGAAATGATTAAGTGCCACTGAAAGTTGAGTGAGATTTGAAGTTATTAAAATATTTCGACACTTCTCTCTGCCAGTAATTGTTCGGGGGAGGTGTTTCGACATCAACTTTAGACTATTCAATTGCTCTCTATTGCAGAGTTCCTTACTAAGAGAGATTTCGTCTGGCTTATCCAGTTATTATGGCGTTTCTCAGTGGAAGCTTGATATCTAGACGGCAGTCTCATCCTAGTGCTGGAGTGCCAACGAGGATTGTCTACAGGAGGCGAATGAAACTCACCGGTGCAATCTTCCCAACTGTGAGACAATATTCAGCTCCACTCTTCCCACATTTTCTTCTTTTTCTCAACTTCAATTCATCCCCCTTTCACCCCCCATTCTACCCGACATCGCTATCTCGATTGCTGGGGAATCCCAGAGACTAGTATTTGTGAGACTCCACGCCTCGGGATTTTCAATGTTTCTGTGCGACTACTTCACAAATTTGTGGCTATTGAAAAGATCCACAAATAGTCATGATTTTATTACATTTAAACTTCAAGGCATACATGCAGAGAAATTTTTCCACTCAACTTCTAGGAGATTCAAAAAATCTAATGTTGAACTACTGAATTTTTTGAGCATTTATCTGGAAAAGTAAACAAAGAATTCCAAAATCCCGCGAGGAGAATAGAAATGACTCAATGGAATTAATAAAAATTCACTTCTGTATTTAAGTTACCCAATTCGTTATAGAATATGTATTTATGTGGCATATATTCAAAAAACGTTATATATCGAATTATAATTTTGTGATATATTCAATGATAATTTTTGGATATACATGAAAAAATTTTAATTCGATATCGGAATCAGTGAGAAACTTGAAAAAAAATCACGTTCCGATCTCTGCTCGCAGGAATAAAAACATTCGCAAATTGATGACGTCCACTTATTTTTTATATTTATTGTTAATGAGATATTCTACGCACCACTTCCCGGTATGTACAAGTTGAGGGTGAGGCAATCCTCACTCTGATTTCCCAGAAATGTGATCATTCTTTTAATTTGAATGTATCTGCCAAGTGGCATCTCCTTGAGGGCAGCGGTGCGATTGCTGATATCAGGCAGCTTTTGGGGGCAAACTGGTCCAAAACTGTCAGCGAGTCTGACACCTGACCACGATGATGGGGCTGATGGTGGCCTCAGTCGTAAATCACCGACTGGTGGTGCTGCGTAAGGTATACCACGAAAAACCTCCACTGGATCCAGCCTCGTGTTCAATTCCTTCGACAGAAAGACCACCAAAAATGACATTTCAAAAAATCTTCACCCAAATTGTATGATTTAAAAAATCAATACACTAACGCAAATAATAAAAATCAGATTCTTCTACAGGAATATTGAAAAGTCATTCTCCAACGCATAATGTAACCTTCATTAACTGACGTTAACTGCACTATTTTATATATTGAGGGAGTGTAATAAAAATTTTATACAATAGTATACATTTTCGGAGGGAGGTCATTTCGAAAGCCCCACCGGACCCTGAGGAAATTAGTGTCCGCAGAATTTCCTCCGTAAAAATGAAATAAACCAGTGAAACCTGGTAAAATCGTAAAATATTTCTGAAATGAAATCGTAATTTTTATATCGACGAACCAAGAGCGGGAGATGGTGTACCAGAGTGTTATTGACGTTGACCGCGTAAAAAATTGTGGGTAAAAAAACGGGGAAATAGTGCGAGCGTTAACGCTTTGACGGTTGGAAAATGTTTGCGGAATGTCTTTTTCCCGGATTTTTCCTGTGAATGGCAAGTAGATTTTTCCCGATTCACTATATATCAGATTTTTTAATAGTGAAAATTCTCGAGAAAACTCGAGAGATCACTTTCGTTTGGGAATTTTAAATTCGTGAGGGAAAATATTCCGTTCGACACCTTGAAGATTCGTAGATGAAAATCGCAAGACTAACGAAATGACAAATCCGTTAACGAATCTTGCCGATCCGTCTACGAATCACATTCGTATTGGAAAGTGTGTAATGAATCGGCGTTCTCAAGGGAATACCGAATTCAATCGTAAAAATGCTTCCATTCGGAAGCAAAAGTCAATAAATCCGCTGGTTTGTCATCCAGTCTTCGAGGAATATCTCGAAATATCTCGAAATCTAACGGAAATATCGGAATTACTGTTAAGAGCTCCTTTCTAGAGTAAAACAAGAGCTGCAAAAAAGGATTTAACAAAAATTTCGTTATCTCTCTAGGATTCGGAGATATTAAGCATGTAAAATTAAGACATCTGTTCCAAGACATCAATAGATCATCAATTAACAATTGGAAATACCGAATCCCCTCATTTAAATGTATTCATTCGATCTTCGAGACTAAATCGATAACACCTCATTAGTTAAATCCATTTTCTACAATTTCTGATGAATTCTTCATTGAAACGAGTAACGAAACACGAAATCCCGTCGTCTCCCCTAGGATCAAATTCATTTTTGTAAATATCCGGTGGTGTAATAGAATTGGGGGGGCGAGGGGCAAAGAGACAGAGGAGAAAATGGGTTAATTCGATTGGCAATCATCGGATATTGGCAGAAGGGAACATTGAGGTATTGAGGAGAGAAGAAAGAAAGTAGGAAGTTCTCCTGGGAAATGGAGAAAAAGAGCTCTTTTGCTCTCTGTGTACTCCAGGCACAATGACCAGACGTGCGTTGCCTTCACGAGTGCTAGGAATTATTATAATCTCAGGCGCAATGCTCTCTTCTCTCTCCCACAACCTCCATAGAATTTATTTCAAAATCAGGGGAGAATAAGACGTGACTGTAATTCTTCTCGGTTCAGATCATATTATAGATTCGTTTCTGGGGAGATTTCAGGTTTTTTACCGTCACTTTTATCTATTTGTTTATTTCCTTCTTATTTCATCTAAAATCTCAACAGATATCCTCTTCACTTTTCCTGTTTTGCTATTTGCATTTAAGACTTTTTCCACCTATAGTCATTTTTTTTTCCACTCAAGTCTCCAGAATTCTAATGTATAAATAAATACTAATGTAATGTCATTTATAAAAGTCGTAAGTGCAATGTTTTTTTACATCAAAGGTTAAGGGAATTAAGTAAATTACCTGTAAAATACCCCGTATTTGTCCACTTTTGGTCTCGACTATTCTGGAGGCATACCTCGGTCCAGCGTTGACCCCGCATACGGCAGTGGCAATTAAAACGACTAATATTCTCCTTACGTCGGTGCAACTCCTGGTGGTATTTAGCATTGGTACCAGCAGCCACGTCCAGGCTGCCGGCTGGCATGGTCCAAGCATGGCAGCATTTGTTGGCAACCAAAATCGCCACCACCATGCCCTGGACACCCACTTCAATCACCCCCCCAAGGCCTCTCTTCCACTCCCCTCTCGCCCCCCTCACAGCAGAATCAACAAATTCCACCGGTACAATTTCCACTATTTTCAATCCAAATCCCTGATGTCACGAACTTTCACCCTTAAACAACTCTAAACTTGAGTTTTACTCTCGCCCTTAGCGACAAATCACCGAAAACTTTGCAACGTGATATGCAAACGCGACATTACTGACGTCCTGGGAATTAGTGACTCCACTGTGTGCACCAGAGCTTCTCGTTGTCGTCAGCATCTTATGGGTTTATGATTTACAAGTTCACTCCGCAAGGAAGTCAACTCAACTTCTTTCTGGTGATGATGCAGTATCTATCAATCCAGTGTATCAATCTGAAACCAGAGATCGTTGTTTCCATTTTATAGAAATCTTTGACATTCTTTCAAATCTGTTTCCGGCTATTCCAGCGATGCAATAAATGAATATACATTATATCTTGTATAAAATTAAAAATTAACAAATGGCAAATGTAGATATTTAAATAATTTTTACATCTGATCATTTTTGAAAATGGGAAAAATTGCAATGAAATGAAGAATGGAAAAATGTTTAATAGTCCATGATAGTGGCCATGATATTTTGGGGAATTAAAAAATTATTGGGGTATTAATAAATTTTAGATTTATCTGGCAAAAGTGAAGAATAATTTGTGTAAAAATCATGGATTGAATATATTCTCGCAGTGAATGACACTGTCGTACATTACTTTATGAATTGTGGTGAAGTGACCCAAGTTTACTGGCGCCTTGGGGCATTCACCACCAAAAACCCTATCCCATTGACGAAGTGCGATGGAATGGAGCACTGGACATGAATACTTGGGGAATGAAGGAGTGTACGTGCCAAGAACATGGTAAAGTATCTCGGTGCATGCATTACGACACCATCCAAGTACTTCCGCTGTTGGCGACAGTACAAATTAACGTCAATGGAATCACTGGGGCTCACTCTTTCTTAGTAAGAAAACTTTTGACAAAAGTATTTGAATCGAGTGTAAAAAGTGTTGTTGAAGAATTTTCCTAAGATTGTCGGGAAAAAAAAGGATTAATTCTATTTGAAAAGGGAAGAATTTTTAAAGTCTCCCGTATTTAGAGAGAAATTTTATGGAAAAAATTGCAAAAAAGGAATTTTTTCGATTTCCATCGATTCTCCAATCCCATAAATAATGACAATTACCCTCATAATTTATTCTGCAATTTGAGGCAGTCACTTCGAACCTTGTGATTGCGCTCCTCTCGAATCCTCTCTCATTTATTCAAAAACTTCATGAATTAATAACCAATATTTCTAATTGATCCAACGCCATCACTCACCTCGATTACCCACCCCCAATACCGATAAAATTTGATATAAATCTAATTAATTAACCCAAAGGGTAAAAATCTCTGACTCCGTCGCTTCATCCCCATTTCGTTCATTACTTCCCTCATTATTATTTTATTTATTAATGAACCTAGCGATGACGCCGCAACAATGGAACCCGGGGGTCTCTCCAGCATAACTTTATATAATTAAAAGTTGTTCTATAATGCAAAATAAAAAAAAAAGCCCAACCCGATAACTCATTTCCCCGTTTGCCCGCCCTTTGAACCTTCCCAGTATCAATTTTTAATTACCTCCTGGAAGCAAGCGATTTGCAACGTTTTAATTACGTTGAAAAAATCTCCAAAGGCTCCAGAACAAACATCCTCAAGGAGAGACCGCAATGAATCGTAAAAGTCTTTTTGGAATTTAATTCAATTGGTGTCAATAAATTTATTTAACACCCCATCTAAAACCGTGATTTCCAGGAAAGTGGCATTTATAATTCAGAATCAATTGATTTTAGAAAATAAATTGTTCAAAATTTCTTGAAATATCAAACGAAATGTCATTTGAATTTTCAATTATGGAAATTTCAATTTAATTTCAATGCAAAAACAGCCACTAACGTTTTCACGTCGACTAATGACAGCTGGTTCGAGAAATGCAGGAAAATAATTACTGGCATTTTCAAAATCGTCACGATTGTTCCGTGTCATATCGACTTTAAAATGGAGAATATTCAAGGAAAGGAATTAACTGACTCGTGAATGAGGAATCCCACAAAAATTCATGTCAGATTGTTGGTAAAAATTTCAACTGTTATTACTTTTAATGTAAAGTGCATTTTTCCAGCAGAGTAGATACAACAATGAAAAATAGATTTAAATTAAAATAGAAATAAATTAAATTGAAAGTGTTGATAACCGCTGCCATGATATGAATTAATGTCTGATCCGTTACAAGTGAATTATCGTAATAACCGAAAATCGTCGATTGTTCTGATTTCTCGTGAAAGCTCGAGGAAACTTGGGGGAAATCACGATAGGTTATTTGAGAAGTTTAAAATTGCATTCGTGTGCGCGGGCGTCGGTCGATATAGTGTGCAATATGTCAAGTGAGTGTTCTGGTGGGGGCAGGACAAATCAGATGAGGGGAACAGGTGGACGCATGCGCAGGTGCTATTCCCCTGGTCATTTGACTCACGGCCGCCTTCGTGTCAGTCCACTCTGGCTTTTCGTCGAGATTTACGTGTACTGACGGTGAAATCCAAAAAAAAAAAGACAAGAGAAGCAATTCCGAGTGGGTAAGCCTCAGACAACCCTGAAAACACCTTTTGTAACCTGTGACAGCCACACTAAAATATTCCAGACACTTTTCTCGTTTTTCGTCAGAACAAATTCTGCGGACATAACCTCCAAGCGATCTAGAACACTGACGTGTAATCTGACAGAACATTATTAAAGAATCTCCAAAATAATTCACATTTCCCACAAAATTACAGTCAACTCGACTCGAACTTCTGAAAAATTTGATTTCTCATTTCTCACAATTACCATTATCCAGAAATACATAGCATTGCCTGACTTTCTGAATTATGTAGCACAAGAAAATCCTATCTTTATAATTCCAGAGAACCCCGAAGATGTCGACCTCAGCGGTGTATATTCTGGATGTCAAGGGAAAAGTCCTGATATCCAGAAACTACCGAGGTGACATAGAGACTGGTGTAATCGAGAAGTTCATGCCTCTGGTAATGGAGCGCGAGGAGGAGGGCAATTTGACACCAATAATTCAGATACCAGAGTGCACTTACGCCTATATAAAATACAACAATCTTTACATCGTATCAACGACCAAGAAGAACGCAAATATATCGCTGGTATTTGTTTTTCTACACAAAGTAGTTCAGGTGATGCAGGAGTACTTCAAAGAGCTCGAGGAGGAGAGCATACGGGACAACTTCGTTGTTATTTACGAGTTGTTGGATGAACTTTTGGACTTTGGCTATCCCCAGACAACAGACAGCAAAATACTGCAGGAGTACATAACCCAAGAGGGCCACAAGCTAGAGATTCAGCCTCGAATACCAATGGCTGTGACGAATGCTGTGTCCTGGAGGTCTGAGGGAATAAAATACCGTAAAAACGAAGTTTTCTTGGATGTCATCGAATCGGTTAATCTGCTGGCCAATGCCAACGGCAATGTTCTATCCTCGGAGATCGTTGGGGCTATTAAAATGCGAGTTTATCTCTCCGGCATGCCTGAATTACGATTAGGTCTGAACGATAAAGTCCTGTTCGAGTCGACCGGTCGTGGAAAATCAAAATCTGTTGAGCTCGAAGATGTCAAGTTTCATCAGTGCGTTAGACTGTCGAGATTCGAGAATGATCGGACGATATCTTTCATTCCACCTGATGGGGAATTTGAATTAATGTCTTATCGCTTGAATACGCATGTCAAGCCTCTCATTTGGATCGAATCTGTCATCGAACGTCATGCACACAGTCGCGTTGAGTACATGATCAAGGCTAGATCACAGTTTAAGAGGCGATCCACTGCGAATAATGTTGAGATTGTTATTCCTGTACCCAACGATGCTGATTCACCGAAATTCAAGACTACCATTGGCAGTGTCAGGTATTCACCTGAGCAGAGTGCTATTACTTGGTCTATTAAATCATTTCCTGGGGGAAAGGAGTATCTTATGAGGGCGCATTTTGGTTTACCATCGGTTGTTGGGGAAGATGTCGAGGGAAAGCCTCCTATTCAGGTGAAATTCGAAATTCCTTATTTTACTACTTCTGGGATACAAGTCAGGTACTTGAAGATTATCGAGAAGAGCGGGTATCAGGCACTTCCTTGGGTCAGGTATATCACTCAGAATGGGGATTATCAGTTGAGGACTAATTAATGATGATTCTAAGGTGTTTTTCAAATGAACATTACTGAAATGTATTTTTATGATTTGAGGTATTAAATTTTTTCAATATATATTTGATCTTGCGGTTATTATTCAATTGATGATCACTGATTGTAGGAATAAAATTTTTGAGAGACTTTCCTTGTGAAAATAAGTGGATAATGATAATTGGAGATAATTGTATGATTGGTTCTACGAACTGAAGGTTTAATTGAGTGAAATAAAAATTGTTTATTTTGATTCAGTTAATGGATGAAGATTTTTATAACATTCCTTTGGAAGCTTGAGAAATTGTGTGGCTAGACGACTGATTTTGAAAGGTGATTTCTCTGTTGTTGATTGTACGCTTTTGAATGATTTTTTTAGTAATTAAACGTACATTTTGGAAAGTGTTTTATCCGCTTGTGAGCCAGAATTTTTACATTTTTAGACCCTCGCCAAAACTCTTTCCACAACAGTAATTGGTACCTAGTGATACTAATTGAGGTATTCATGCCTAAACAACGCCTGAGTGTACTTAAAAGCCAATTGTAGGTAATTAATGACTCAGATGAATTAGTGTGTGTAGTTTTAGTTATGCGTAGCTCGATACGTTTACGATCGAAGTATGTGAATAATGAAATGTAACCACTATGTAAATTACTCCTGAAATATATTGATTAATTTTTAAAAAAACCAATCTAACAAAGTCTTTCATCATTTCGGTTATCACCATTGTCAAGACCCCCGTGTATCACGGTTTCATCGCAACGAAGGGATTTCGTAATGCATGGTAATATTTTTTCACATGAAAAAGCGAAATTTGAGAGGTTTTTAATGCAGTCTATTTTCCCACAATTTTCAAAAGGTGATCGTTTAATTGAAATTTGAAAAAATTTGAAACCATTGTAATGGAAATCAAACAATTTTCTTCATTGCGATAATAAAAAAGTTTAATTTCAAATTTTTTAGAAACTCTTGGAAATTTAGAACGAGTGACTGAATTTTTAAAAAATTTACAAAGTTCCATTTTTAATAACCGTTAAAAATGTTTAAATATGACATAAATAATATTAATATCATATAATATTATATTGAAAAGGTGGACGTTTTTTTTTTTTGAAAAAATTGAATTTTCTGCAATTTCATTGAAACCTGCAATATGATGAGCTGTTTCTGATTATTTTTAATAGGAGAGCTTTTTCAAAAATTCGAAGAACGACCGAATCTTTGACAAAACCCTCCCTTTATCGGAACTTCCTCCCTAAAAGGCCATCCACTCCAATTATCAGTCTTCAGTTGCTTCGAAATTCAAATCTCCCCCGACCATAATATGAGTATCATCCCCCATCATCTCCATCATCGCACACCCACGCAATCACGTATTCCACTCCATCAATATGGGTTAATAATCCCCCGACTTACTGCTCTCAAAAGAAATGCCCCGGAAAAAGAAAAACTCTCCATAAATCGTTGAACGAAGAAAAAAAAGCCTTTCTATAAAACTTAATGAGAGGCTTTGAAAAAATTCAATCGACGCCCGACAGAAAATAAAAGACTCTAATACCTTGAACGACTTTTGTGAACTCGATATGCTTCAGGAAAATTCTCTGACGCACATAATTGGTAATTCATCCATTCATGTTGTTGGAACAGTAAACTTGACTCAATCGTTGACAAAAAAAAAAATTTGTAAAGAATGTGAAAACCTTTTCGAGTGGAAAATTCTCCAGTCAAACGTGAGACAAGTGAACGCTCCTGTAATGAACGTTAATTACTTTGGGCTTAAGGTTTAAAAGCACACATTAGGGTCATGAAGAGAAGGGGAAGGGGGAGGGAGGGGGGGGAGGGAGTTCAAAAGTTCTTTTTTTTTGTGACATTTGAAATTTTCCAAGTTGGGCAACTCAGAGGAGTTCAGGACGAAGGGAAATAAAAGTATTTAAAAAGTAGGTGGAAAACGAGACGTAAATGTTAACCAGTGATTTATCGGTGGGAAAGAGTACTCGATCAGGGGCTCCTTGACTTGAACGGAAAAGGGGTCTTGGTCCATGAAAACCACGAGCACTTTTTCTCGCTTTAGAAGGATTGGCATTTCGCCAATTGGTTGGCTCTCACGTGTAGGCAAAACCAACACTCATTGTTCTCCCTCCCACTATTTATGTATCCACTCTTTATTGTTTAAGGTTTCAATTATTGTTGACTGAAGGAGTGATACAATATTTATATCCGTTTAGGCAGACCCTGGGGGGTCCCGGTGGTAATTTTATTTTCATCTGTACTAGGCAATGTTGGGTGGATAGTATATTACTGTGTTGTAATATTATAGTAATGAGGATGAGTAATTGATTAGTTGGGTGTATCATGATTTATTGCATTGAATTAATTGGAATTTTATTTCGAATTTTTGTTTTCATTGCAATACAATGGACGGCTCTTACAAATATTTTCACAAAATTCGGAATTACTTGGGCGTAAAATGAAAATATTCCACAGTACAAAGCTCTCATGCAGAACAAAAAAACATTTTGACGTTCGTTAACCAGATATGAGCATTTACGTCACGTATTCCATTACTTTATTTACAGTAATCGGGGGAGGCGAGCTCATGTTTATTTGAGTGATGTTTTTGTCAGGAGAATTTAAAATGAATTTCGACGTACAATCGATGTTTGTAAAAATTGTTTAAAATTCTTTCATGCATATGCATAAACTTTTGAATTTTTATCATCAAATAGTGGTGAATGAAAAGGGTGGAATAACAAAGGACTCAATTGGTATTCATAAAGAATTTCATCAAACTACAATTTTTATCGAATCAATCGTCAAAAACATTTCTACTCTCAATGGATTGAATTGTCTCAGAACTGTTAAATTCGTAGAAACTTTGGTACTGAGGGATGAAATTCAGGGGATATTATTGATGGAGGAAGTGGAATAAGTTAACGCGAACCAAAGTTTTTCATTTTTTTAAACCCTTTTTTGCTGGAGAACTGAATTTCTCTTATTCCGAGAATCTCATTATAATTTATAATGCCTCGAATGCTCAGAGCTGAGTGAAAAAAATTCCAGTTGGCAAAAAGGTTGAGGTAAAATACATGAAACATGAATGGTGAATTTCTGGAATGACTTATTGGCTGCCAAAATACTTTGATACTTTTTTCCAATCTGTGATGGGCAATCCGGATTTCAGGGCACGATAAAAACGAGGCATTGGACATGCATGTGGGTCGAACATTCGAAGCCATTGGCATAGTTTCGGTCTGAAGAGGATCGAAGGGATGAAAATGAGGGCGAGGATATTAACGTGTCAGCTGCTCATTTCGTCAGTGTTTCATTGTTTTTTTTGCCCTGAGTGTCACTCACCACAGAAATGACGCGGCACTAATTAGTCCGTGGAAATTGATTTCTTAATCGGGTGATTAACTGAGAACGTGCTCAAAGGATTCTTATCCTTTCACAGGATACGTCAGACGACTGAATTCTCATGATTCCTCTGAACCTCTCATTACCGAGATCGCTAACTAATTAACAGGATTGTTGATCAAACGGTGCATTTTTACTGATTATGTAATCACCTGGAAAATGGATTTTATGAAGGGCAAATTAACATAGGACTAATGGGAAAATTCTGGAGGAAGCCCCCGTCAGTTTTCTCTTATCAAGATAATTAAAAGATTAATGAGAAGAATGGGCTCGAATTTTTTGGATTAAATTTACGGTTTAATTGGAGCTGAAGTTTTATATCGGAGGAGAAATTTTCATTTATACTCGGTGGAATCAAGAAAATAGTTAAACTGATTTTAGAAGTGAAAATCTCATTTGAAAATGATTGTGTCACTCAATATCGCAGTTACAGAGCCGTTGGGTATCCAAAGCCATTGGCATAGTTTGAGATCGAACAGGAAATCTAAAAAAAAGTAGAAATGAGAACGGAAAAATTGCTATGCTGACAACAGCTCGACATGCCAACATTCCCGAGGCCTTTCGGTCTTTACCAACCGGAAATAGCTTTGACGGTATGCAAATCAGACGAGGCATTTTCACCGTGCCATCTCTAACAGAGAAAATGCTGGATGAAAATCTCATTGGAGTACCCATCACTGTCTTCACGCACACCTGAAGGGATTCAACTCTGAAAGAAATCCAGATAAATTAGAAAAAAAAGAGGGATCTTGGGAGAAAACTCCTGAAAACTATCATCCATTTGAGCTTCAAACTTGCTCGGTTGTTTTCAATTTACGAGAAACTCTAAGTGATACGTATTTTTGCCGGCATTGGAAAAGCCGATATTGGGTTCGAGTCAATAATTCCTTGGGTCCATTCTTTATTCAACTGCCAGCAAATACTTGCTCCACTTTTTCAACTTCACATGGGAATCATTTCTAGTCCTCTCCCGGCCACTTCAACTGCGAGTTACTTTTTCGCACACAGTTATTGAAGTGTATTGAGAAAATACTCTGGATACGGACAATTATTGTCGAGGGGCTGCACTTGACAACGCCGATGCCAGAGAAAATTCGGTAAAACTTGTCATAAAATGTATCCTTAATAATAATGTACGTTTGATTATCGTGTAATGTACTCTGAAATTTTTTTTTTAATAACGCTGTAATGAGAATTGCAATGTGTTTCGTAAAAGCTACATTTAGTAATGACTTTATCTATTATTTCTTTATCTATTACGTAAAAATGGTATGAAAAAAGTACATTTACAGCGAGATTTTCCTCAATTTTCCAGTAAATATTTTTTAATTTATTGAAATTAAAATTTCAATGAAACCAGGAAACAGGAAATTTCGGTAAAAATTCGATGAAAGAACTGCCTGGAAATACCTTCAATTCTCAATACGAAATGGAAAACTGCATAGAAAAGCTCGTAAAATCGATCTAAAGAATCCCTGGAAAAACACATTTTCCTCAAAGACCTGCGAGAACCCCTAGAATTTTCCCATTAAATTCCGCGATATAACAATATGCAGCATGATGAAAATAATAATTTCTTAATGACTACTGCAATCTAAACATTTTCTCCTTAACGTTTCCACTGCTTTTATAAATTTCTCTCACAAAAACCATAATAA